TCTAGTGGCTGCTACCCTAAAGTTGCAAGGGTTTTCAAAATCTACTGAGATTTCAAGCTTAACTTTTTAGTTTAATTTTATTTCACTGGGCTTCTAGGCTGATCTAATCACAAGTTATTCTGAGCAGCACATATCCCAACCTCCATAAATTGGATTCCAAATAATACAAAAAAAAAAAATAAAGTAATAACGTGCAACCTACATTTTGTATCAAGAATACAAAAAATCCAAAACCCTTCCACTTCTAGAAAGGACAAAATCACAGCGATGAAATAACCAATGAAATAAACCATCTTTTGTTGAACTTCTTAAAAACCAGGAGGGAGGGGGATCTCATCTGAAAAGACTCACTTCTCTGGTTCCTGAGGCATTCCCAGACATTCAGTGATGGACTTGATGAACAAGTGATGTTCGGTTGGGTTGCCTACACAATGACATTGCCATAGGTATATACTATACTATGGAATGCCAAGCAACATTTGACCAACTCAAAAGCTTGTTCGCAGGAGAACCAGTCCCCCAACACCCTAACCCTGAGGAACAATTTACCATCCAAGCGGATGCTAGCAATATAGTAGAGGGTGAAGTTCTTCCCCCAAAAAACAGCAAGAGAGACCTATAACCATGCGCTTACCTCCAGAAAACTGACCGACACAGAGAGATGATGGGCAGTATGGGAGAAAGAAGCATTTGCCGTTTGTTGGCAATTACCAACCTGGCACCATATTCTAGAGAGAAATAAAATACCATTGGAATGATTAACGGAGAAAATTCTTAAAGTGAACATAAAGATTAAACCAGAAACTTTCCTTCTGGGCCTAATGGAAAGAGAACTGGAGAAAAAATTGGAAATTTTATATATAGCAATGGCAGCAAGAATGCTCTATGCACAAAAAGTGGAAAGATGCCTCGATTCCTATCATGGACAAATGGTTACAAAAGCTGATGGAATTAGCAGAGATGCCAAATTGACTGTGTTGATTTAAAAAAAAAGAACATAAGTACTTTTGTTTCTACTTGGAAACCACTTCTGGACTTTCTGTTTGAGGTGGAAAAAAGTGATATAATGATTTTGGGTTTCACCAATTATACCGATTTGCCGATACAGAAATGGCTAGTGCATACTACTATAGAAATGTAAAAAAGTTGACATTTGATTTTAATGTTTGATTTTACTGCAACAGAGAGTCAGAAGTCAATGCCTTTTGTTTCTTCCCCTCCCTTTCTTCACACCTTTTTTGTTTGCCCTTTTTCTATTATTGTCCCCTACTATTTACTTTTGTATTTTCACATTTTATGTTACAAAATGAATAAAAATAAATAAAAATTAAAAAAATGAAATGTGGACTGACCACAAAAACCTTGAGGCACTTAGAACCCCTTGGAAATTATGCTCCAAGCAGGTTCGATGGACGCAATATTTCAATCGTTTCAACTTCACTCTAAAGTACATTCCCAGAGGGAAGAACTTCCTAGGTGATGCCTTGTCCAGAATAACACAATATCATGTTTTTCCCAAAATAAGACTGGGTCTTTTTTTTGTTGTTGTTGCCTCCAAAAGAGGGACCAGGTCTTATTTTCAGAGGATGTCTTTTATACTCACCTCCGGCACTGACAGCCCCGCCCAGCCAGTCCACTTCTTCTGGCCGAAAAAATAGCTTCATTCTGCAGCTGAAGTCTGTCCTGCATTTGCAAGTCATGCCTTTCCAGAAGGCCTATGCAGCTGAGAACCGAGCAATGGATTTAATCCATAGCTCGATTCTTGGCTGCAGTGATCTTCTGGAAAGGCCTGTGACTGAGAAATGCAGGCCTGGCTGCAGAAGACACCACAGAAAAAGTGGGCCAGTAGGGAGAGGCCTGGCTGCAAGGTAAGTGGGTGTAGAGCACGTTGGGCAGCTCCACATCCCCACCCCTACCCTAGCTTGATTTTTAGGTGTGTGTCTCTCCCCAAAATTAGGGCTTATTTTGGGGTTAGGGCTTATATTAGGCCCACCCCCCAAAATCAAGCTAGGGCTTATTTTTGGGGAAACACGGTACAAGAGCAATCATGAGGAAATAGTCAATGCTATCATCCCCTCACCTCAAAAAGCTTCCCAAGTGACCATTAGGCATCAAGCTCAAAAGCAATTCACCGGCTCCAACAGTGACTTGACCCAGAAATTTAAAACTGAACTGAAATCCGACCTCTGGTTTAAAGACAACCAGCAACTGTTTACATATGGAGATGAATTGGCATAGAAAGTTTCTAAATTGTAGCTTCCAAGCTCCCTCAGGGTCCAAGCCCTGCAACGAAGCAATGATGCCAAGCAAGCCGGTCACTTTGGGTTCCTAAAGACCTTACACCCAGTAAGAAGGCAATTCTGGTGGCCAGGAATGAAAAGGAACATTGAAAGCTATGTAAAGAGCTGTGCAATCTGTACCATCATGAAGAAAAAACAGGGAAACCCCCGGATTGTTACAACAGGTAGCGGAGCCATCCCAACCCTGGGAGGAAATTGCAATGGACTTTATCGCTTCCTGAAAATGGCGGGAATACTGTAATTTGGACATTGACCTTTTCTCTAAGCAAGCTCCTTTATTGCCTGCCCTGGTCTTCCCTCTGCCCAAAAACTGGTGAAACTATTTTTAAAACCCATTTATTGACTCCATGGAGCACCAAGAAGAATCATATCGGACTGAGGGGTTCAATTCACAGCTAAATTCTGGAGAGTTTGTAAAACTGATTAGATCCACCCAGGGCCTCAGTTTGGCTTTTCATCCGAGTACGAATGGAGCTGCTGAATGAGTGAACGCAATGGTGGAACAATACCTGAGATGTTATGTTAACTATCAGCAGACCAACTGGACAGACCTTTTGCTGAAGTAGCATACAATAACACTGTGCCCAGCAGTTCTGGACTTACTCCCCTTAAAGTAGCCGCTGGCAGGGAATTCATTCCCATGCCTGAATATCCCCAAGAACCCCCTTCCTCATTGAGTTTGACAAAGTGGATAAGCTCACTGCAGGGCAAACATAAAACGTGCCTTAGTCAAAGCCACAAAGATTCAAAAAGAGCAAGCAGATAAAAGGTGGTCCCCCCAGAAACCATTTCATGTAGAGGAGAAAGTCTATCTGTCAACCAAATACCTATTAAAACTACCCTGAAAAAAAGCAGGACCTAAATTCATCAGTCCCTTCCCCATCGTAAAGATCATAAATCCCATTACTGTGGAGCTAAAACTTCCACGACTATTAGGGGAAATACATCCGGTGTTTCATTGCAGTTTATTAAAACCAGTCATGGAATCAACATTGAGACCAGTACCTTGAGTAGCCCCAGGTCCTATTATAGTAGAAGGTGACACCCATTATGAAATAAAATGGATCCTTGATTCTCAACTGTATAAAAGGAAATTACAGTATCTAATTCAGTGGAAAGGCTATTCTTTGTCAGAAGCTACTTGGGTGAAGGGTAAAGATGTAAAGGCAGATAGACTAGTAGAGAAATTTCAAAATAAACATCGACAAAAGCCTAGAGAGGCTCCGGGTGATAGAGTAGAAGATTATCGAAACCCTGCTGTGTATCTATGCTTGTTATTTTCTAGGAACTTCTTTCTCTCTAGGGGAGTCCGACTGTCAACTTTTGAAATGAACCTGGATGAAGCCATCTTTATTGTTCACAGTTGCCACACAGGCTGGAGGTCGGGGGGTGGAGCTATTGCTAGGCATAACATTGATGATCCTGTGGGAACCAATGTCATCCTCACAGGTGCTGGAAATCAGAGAGGAGTGTCATGGAACCCGCCAATTGCCCTCATTGGGTTGCATGATCAATGACATGATAAGGGGAAGGGAAGTATTAAGTTTAGTTTTATTGAATCCGCATGAGAATTTTAGAGTTGGTTTCACTTTTGATCGTGCCAATATTATGTATCCAATAAACATGTTCTTTGAGGAATTTTCAAGCCTCAGAGTTGTGATTTGTTTGGGTTCATTAGTCGGAACCTTGACAATAGGTACCCCCAACGGCCCCAATGAGGGGTGTGGACACAATTAGTTATGAGTATATGTGTATATATGTTTATTGTTGTCTCAGGTCTATCCTTCTTCTGGGGGTCGGCCTGTCAAGACTGATTGACATTTTCATCTATATTCCACTTAGCTCGCAGCTTAACAAAGAAAAGGGAGGAGGGGGATGCAATACAAGGGTGGGGGCAATTGCATCTGAGCATCATCTGTTCCTGTGAGAGTGCCCAACCCAAGGACACACTGAGCAGGTGGACTAGCATGGCTTGCTGGCTCTCATAACAAAATGGACAGTTATTGGTGGATGTAATGGACTGAGGGTGGCCCACAGGAAAGAGGGGGAATTAATTATGCTAGCTTTTGCACAGGAAACCCAGAGCTGGTTTCACTTTGTCTGTGCCAATATGGTTTATTTAGTAAAGTTTATACTCTTGGTAAAATAGAATATAGAATCATGTCCCAGCAATTTCTTTTTCTGGAACTACCAACTGGACAGTTAACACCCTAACCCCAAATCAATCCCACCCCAACCCAGCCCCCCCACCCCCTCACCCTCAATGGGGGAAATCCATCTACTTGGAAGAAAGGAAGAAAGAAGCATGCTTTCATGTCAATTAATAAACCTGGAAGTCCTATCAAAAAAAACGTCTTAAACCTATTCCACACTTCTGAAACCCTATCCAATCTGGGATTATACACCTAAGGTAGGAAAATGCGTGTATGGTTCAATCTTCTCTGAACCAATGATTTTTCCCTCTGGTTTCTTCTGCAAAAGGAAGCTTTTGTCCCTGTCTTCTATATCCTTACAGCAGAATATTTTAAGTCTGCCACCTACTCTCATGTTACTTCAGTTAAAGATTTACAACTTCAAAAGTGTCCTTAAGTTTGTAATCATAAGCTTTCTGCACAATCAGCAGCAGAAGGAGCTTCTGGAATGTTGAATCAATCAGAAAGTTCTAAGCTGTCCACGTTCACAAAGGGTTGCCAAGGGCACCAAGTAGTACAAAGATGTCGTAAGAGTAAGGGGTAACACGGGGTAAGGGCTACTCCGTGGCCTTGACCATGGATGGGGGCTACCAGCTATGGGCACCCTGGTCTCCACTAGATGAATCTCTGCAGTGGCTGAGGGGCACCATCCCTAGGCCGTGGGCTTCCAAGCCTCTCTTCCGAGGTGGACGGAGCCCAGGTGCTGTCGATTTAGAAGTGCAGCTTTGTTTCCAGGGCCTCAGTCTGGTCCTGGAGCCTCGTGCAAAGATGGGAGCAGGACAGCAGCAGCCACCGGGAGCAGCTGGGGAGACAAGAGGGCACAGTGGGTCTGTGCGTAAACCCCAGGCTGTGCGTCTCACAGGAATTGATTCGGTATTTGGACACCTTGTGACAGTACAGCCCCCACGCTGGAGTGGCTCCCTCAGGGTATCCAAGCATTCAGCCTTCCATCAAGTCATAAGCACCCGCCAACGCTGGCCCCAAGGGCTCCAGGAGCCCCAAGTGCGCATGGCCATGGCCATATGCCGGCAAATGCTGCGTGCCATACTCCTACTCTACGCTGCCTACAAGAGGTGTGCCTTCGCATTGCAACATTCCCACTGAGGGCCCGTCTGAGACAAAGGGAATCTCCTTCCCTCAGTTATACCCTCTATGAGTAACTATCTATGTGCTTCCTATTCTCGTGGAGTCCATTCTGATCAGCTAAACATCTCCCACTAACTGGAGATACCCAGAGAATATCTACACCTGAACTGTAATTTGCTAATGTAATAGTTCGTCATTATTATAAATGAAAGAAACATTTCAAGTAATACCGTATCATTGAAGGAAAAATTTCTGAAATTCCAACAAGGAGTCCAACAACATATCCCGTTTGAGAAACAAGTCACACATTTGCACATGGTGAAGAACATTCATTCAGCAAACTGATATAACTGGACTTCTAGATGGGATGAACATAAAGTTCAAGAATATTTGTAATACTAGAAAGAATATTAAAGCAAATTTCAACATAAAAACCATTAAGATACTAAAGAATGGGACTGAGAAATAAATCTATTTGAAATCTATTAATTTGCCAGGGTTAGATACTAAATGGCAATAGTAGGGATCTATGCAGGATAGTCTAAAACAAGCTGTATTGATTGCTAAATAAAATGATTATCTCAACCACATCTGAAAATATTGTTTGGAATTCATTTTGGAATATCACATTTCCTAAACTGAAACAATGCTTACTGCATTAGTATGGTTAGTAAATAAGCCTGAGGCAATGATTTAAACAAATGTTATATTTTGTTTTCAACAGACTATGAAGATACCTAAATGGACAAGATTCTGACAGGTTAAAGGTGTGAGAGCCCGACCTTTAAGAACAGCTCTAATTTAAGAATATATCAGTATATCTGAAACACCCAACATTCAACACATACCACCAGTGAAATGCTTAATTATAAAATAAACACTTTAAATATTTACCACCTCTGCCAACTTTTAAATACACATTTTTTCAAATAGAAATAAACCTTTCTCCCATGTCTAAAATCTTTTGTTATTGCTTCCAATATCATGCCAATAATTTCAATTTCTGCATGAAATTGTAATAGAATTCCTTATTATTATTCTAACGCAAAAAGTGGGTTATTAAGATTTCTGTAGATTTTAATAGCAGAAGCAGCGTGTTCCTCCTTCCTGAGGCTTCGTTCAGAATCGACCAGACCAGGGGTAGGCAACCTTGGCTCTTTTATGACTCGTGGACTTCAACTCCCAGAATTCCTGAGCCAGCACGACTCAGCTTGGAAACTCTCCCTTTCCCCTCAGCATGGCTGGCTCGGGAATTCTAGGAGTTGAAGTCCACAAGTCATAAAAGAGCCAAGGTTGCCTACCCCTGGACCAGACCAATTTGAGTATTCAGGGGCAGAGGCGGGAGAATCTCCTCGGGAAAGAAGGCCCCGGACTTGCCCGCCCCAAAGGCCGGCAGCCGCGAGGTGCCACTGCCGGGCCCGTCTTCAAGCCGTCCCCCGCCTGCTCGGGCCCAGCTGTCCTCGGGCAGAAGCGGCGTCAGGAAACCGCAAGGGAAGCACCCTTTCTCCCCGCTCCCGGGCCGGCCCAACGTCCGATACTCCTGCCGGCAGCCACCTCGCCTCGGGGCCCATTCGGACGCCGATTGCCCCGCCCACCTCCCCAGGTTGTTCGGCTATCGCGCAGTCGCCCCGCCCCTCAAGCGGCCCTTCCGCCCTGCTCGCGGCGGCTTCCGGCGACCCAGCAATGAGGCTGACGGCGGTGCTCGGCATCTCCCACGGGCGGTTGCGGCGCCGTTTGGGGCTCGGGCCGCGCTCGCGCCTCGACATGCTGCGAAACCTCGTCACGGGCCTGGTGCGCCACGAGAGGATTGAGACCACGCGCGCCCGCGCCGACGAGATGCGCTTCTACGCCGAGCAGGTGAGTGGGGGGATGGGGGGAGGGGGAAAATGGACGTGGGGGCGTCCTGGCGAACTGCCTCCTCACCACCCTCCCTGTGTTCGTTTCTGCCCTGCAGCTGATCGAGCACGCCAAGCGCGGCGACACGGACCCGCAGGCCATGCGCCTGGCCGACTTCTGGCTGACGGTAAGCGGGCTCGGCTTGGGAGGGGGTCCGGGGCGCTGGCGGGGCGCGAGGCCCGGGACTGAGCGCGGCGCCCCCGCCGCTGCTGCAGCTGCTGCTTCTTTGCAGGAGAAGGACCTGCTGCCCAAGCTCTTCAAGGTGCTGGCGCCCCGCTTCGCGCCCCATCAGGGAGGCTACACGCGGATGGTGCGGATCCCCAAGAATGACAACCTGGACCGGGCCGAGAGGGCGGTGATCGAGTACAAGGGCAACCCGCTCCCGCCGCTGCCGCTGCCCCGCCGAGACGGCGAGAAGACGCTGGTCAACCAGCTGCTGAAGGGTTACCGGGAGGAGCGGCGCCCCGCCGACGGCACGGCCGTGTAACATCGCCCCTTGGTGAATAAAGGCCTCTCCGCGCTCGCCCCGGGGCCGCCGCCGCCGCCTCCTTGGTCTCTCTCGGGTGGGGAGAAGGGGGGGACCCGACTGAGCTGGGGGTGAGGAGAAGGCAGCGCTTCCCTCCCAGCAACTGAGCCGGGAGAGACGGTCAGCTGTGTAAAGTCTTTGCTAAGAACCGATTGGAAAACTGCCAGCGATTCCAGTTGCTCACCTCAAAAAAGGTATTCAAGATTTGGGAAAGGTGCAGAGGCTTAATGAACTCCTACAGCTGGGATTATCAGTTTTGTGTTCGCTGCTGTATACTTTTGCCGTTTTGACTCCTCAATCACACCAGTTGGAATAGATCTTGGAGAAAATCTAACCTATTTTTTTCTACCTGCCCCCCTTGCATTCCTCATCTTTGTCTCTGTACCACTCGCAGCTGTTTGTCCTTTTTTTCTTTCCTTCCGCCTCTTCCAGCATTAAAGACTTTTTCTGAGAGCTGTTTAATGTGATAATTTGAGCTGGGTCATTTGTGCCTCAAGTGAGAACTCAGGGTCTATGGGTTTAGTGATCCATCATTTGTTTTCTTCCCTGTATTTTTGGGAGTCTTTTCCAAAGTGCAAAAGCAACAATTCTTTTCCTATCCTGTATCTTTAAAGTCCAACAGTTGCTTGCATAGCAAAAGGGAGCTCAGATATAGAGAGCACGGCTTTTGAATGGTATCTTTTTCCTGGGCTGTCATGGCTGCTCTACCAAATAGTAATCTGTGGGCATATTTCTTGATTGCTTGTTTTGTTTTTTTTTACTGTTGCTGGTTCATCCTAAAAGGCAGAAGTATCTTCACTCTCAGTTCTTTTTCTCCCAACTATTTTATTGAAAATCATATTAAACAAATAGAACTAATATAGCTACCTAAAAGAGAAATGCATTAAAATATTTTTTTAGATAAAAAAGAATAAGTATAGGAAGAAAGACAAAACAAAAAAATAACAGAAACTCCCCAGCAAATATAATCACTGCCTCTTAAAATATAACCGACCATTTCTTAATTCCATACTTCACCCCATCACCTATAAGCCCATTTCTAAATCTCCATATTAATCAGCAAAATTCTAACAAGAATTATCAGAAATAAAAACCTAAGTAGTATAAATTATCTATTACACCCAATTTGAATCCATTTTAAAACTATATATTTTCATTTAAATGCCTCCTATTACCACTCTTCAAATACAGTAGCCCTCAATGCCTGCAGCTGAGCCCAATATTTCTGTTGCTAAGTGAAACATTTGTTGTGAGTTTTGCTCCACTTTACGACTTTTCTTGCCACAGTTAAGTGAATCACTGCAGTTGGTAACTTTGTAACACGGTTGTTAAGTAAAACTGGTTTGCCCATTGACTTTGCTTGTCAGAAGGTGGCAAAAGGTAATCACATGGGCCCTGGACACGGCAAACATCATAAATACGAGTCAGTGGCCAAGCATCTGAATTTTGATCATGTGACCCCATATGGGGATGCTGCAACAGTCATGTGAAAAAGGGTAAGTCAGTTTTTTTCAGTGATCTAACTTTGGACAGTCACTAAATGAACTATTGTAAGTTGGCTACCTATAGTTGAGGTCTAATCCCAGTCAAAAATTAAATATCATCATTGTTTGAAAGTGGCATCTAATCAATTATCAGTATAGTCTGAAATAAAAATAACATTCTAGGCAGTACATTCCTACGTTATGCTGATCACAGTGGAAATAGATGCTTTATGGGTATTTGCAAGGAAGAGACACGGCCCGATTCTCCCATGATTGTTGCCCTGCAGATGGGCTTTGATAGCCTGCTGTCCTCCACCTCAAGCGTAATACTGAGTCTTCAAGATTAGTAGTCCTCAATAGAGGGGTCCTTAAATTTATCCAGCCTGATAACTGGATAAATTCCACACATGCAATCTAGTAGCTATCACCAGGCATCTTGGAGTAACGAATGCCATGTGTTGCCTGATGTGAAGCAATGGTTTTTTGGGCGGCCACTTCCATCAGCTTCATTGGAGGGAGGAAAAACATCTCCCTGTTCAGTCTTCCTGCCGCACATGGGTCTATTCAGCTCGATCATAACGCCCACCTTTTTTTCTCAGAAGAGTCTCGGATCTAGACTTCCTTGCAATGGAGTTGTTCAAACTCTGCAATAATTTTGGTTGCTCTCTCTTGTATGTTTCCCAATCTTTTTTTCAGTGCGTCAACTTAGAACGGTTTACAGCATTCCAGCTTCAGGTACGTTCTTGCTGTGTTGACAGCTTTATTTTCAATCATTTTCCTAAGGGCTCCTAGCATAAAATTTGCTTTATTCACACATGCGATGTCTCTATTACACTGTCCATTGTGGGCACCAGATTTTTTTCTTCCACCTACAGATTATCTGTGGAGGGTTCCTTTCTCCGGTCTGCATCACATTATTTCAAAATTATTTGCCTCTTGGTTAAATGTTATTGTGACCAAAGCCTGGCTCTCCTAAAGGAACAAATAACTTGAAGATATGACATGTTTATTAAGCAAACAAATAACTTTCAGTGTGCACTCGGCTCTAAGCTTGCCGAGCAGCCTTGATGAAAAGCAGAGTCACAACATGTATATTTTTTGATATGCTATGTTACAAAGGTAAGACAAAGACAACTGTAAATTGCACCATGATGTTGGAATGATTTTGATAAACCCACCTGGATGGCCTTACTTACCCCTTTCTGCTTAGATACACGGAGATATGGCCAGTGAATATATTCAGTTACTGGGCCCCCAATTCCTGATTCCTCTGTTGTCATTCAGGGTCAATGCAGCCAGTTGGGAATGCTTTAATACAAGGGCACTTTAAGCAGTTCAGGTGTATGGGGGGGGGGTGGAATAGGGTCTCATGTGTGGAGTGAATGCTGTACGTGGGACTGCGTTTTGCCACCACAGCAGTCAATTTATTTTAAGGAGGTCCTCTTCCTCAAGCACTTCACAATCACTTTGGCATTTTGCAATTGGAATAGCTTTTTCCTTAAGTCATTTATAAGCAAGTCCTAACACTTTCAGGTTTCTACTATTTGTTTCTGTTTTTCAGTGAGTTAACAATTCATAAAAGGACTGGTCATCTCACTATTACGAAGTTTAGAAGAGCCATTGATGAGGACTTGGTCAAAGGGTTTTGGAGAGTAGCATTAACAAGATCAGAATTTAACCTAACAATCCTGGGCACAGGTTAAGCTGACAAAACTTCTTTCCAGGTGCCCAACTGGAATATTGATGTCACGTTGGTTACTCTTACCAGGTCCTCTGGCCCTGTTACTTGTTTCAAGAACAAGCTGTGAATTTTTCCTAGGTCATCTGTTTCTCGTTGAACAATTTTCCTTGGATGCCATCAACGCTTGGTAATTCATAGCTTTGGTATTGAAGATATCCCAGGGTACTTTGTCACCTCTCTGAGAAAGTCAACACAGAGTTGCATACCTGTCCTATATTTTGAAGAAAAATCAGTGCAAAGAATTAAATTTCTCTACAATCTCGGTAATTTCCTTGAGGATCCCTTTCACTGCACTTGACCTGCTGTATGTTGTGATTCAAATATATTTTAATATTTTCAGTTGTTCCTCATTCCTGGACAATTTTCTTTAAAATTAATACAATACATAGTTGTAATATTTTTATGCTTGTTCGTACATAAATTTATATGGCCACCCAGAGCCGCTTAGGTGAGACTGGCAGCCATACAAACCAAATCAAATTCTGGGGGGAAAGCATGAAATATTTAATGAATGGAATATTTGTAATATCTTTTTTTAATGCAATTTTTAAAAAGCCTATTAGTTTTACATTGCTTAAAGCAGTGTAGGCTTTGGTAACACAAGAATGGAATTCTGTGTCCGTGTTCATCGCATTTGGGGAAGCAAATTGGGTGAGAAGCCTTTTTTTCTTACTAATTGCCTTTTGCTTTTGGAATGGTCAAACTCCGACTTAAGCAGCTGGACAAAGAGATGGTGCATAGACCAGTGATGGCGAACCTTTTAGAGACCGAGTGCCCAAAAACTGCCCCAGCCCGCCCACGCTCTGCCCTTGGCCCGCCCACCTACAGGGCCACTCACTGCCTCCATGGCCCTCTGCAGCAAATCGCCCAGGCGGCCTTGCAGTGCCATGGCAGCCACGCCCGCAGTCTGCAGCATCATCTGCACACGATGGGGCACAAGGGCAGAGTCTTGTCCCGGCTGCCATGTCCTTGGCTGCGCTGCTCCACAAGGGCCGTGCCTGGGGCAGACTCTCCTCGGGGGGGGGCTGCTGGTGAGGAGGGGGCTACAGAGGGAGGCGGGGCTGGGGCAATGACACGCGTACCCACAGAGAGGGCTCTGAGTGCCGCCTCTGGCATGTGTGCCATAGGTTCACCACCACTGGCATACTCTGTCTTAAGGCGAGTGACATCTGCAATGGAATTAACTAAGAAAAGGGGAAGGACTGTTATTTCCTCTCACAAAAGAAGAACTGGTGAAGGACAGTTTCTGTCAAAGCAGGAGGAACTTTTTCCTCTCTTATTGAGCCAGTATAAAACACCGGAAGGTGTTTTGTGATTTCCCTCAAGTTTCTCTCTAGTTTCAGGATCCCTGTATAGAGATGCACACGTGTGTGTCCATATATATATACACACACACACACACACACACACTTCCACCATTGAGAATGCCTGTCCACTGTCCTCCACAGAAGGATGTGTTAATTACAGTGTTGCTACCAAAATCTGCCAAATTTAATATTAACATTTCTTTTGGGCTATTTCCTCACATGATCTTTTTCTTCTTAAAGAAGTACAGTAACCTACTAATAATTATATTACTAGACCGTCTTTAAGTCATCTCTAGCATTTTCTTAAAGCAGGTATCCATTTAAGAAAGCATAATTTTCCCTACTGCAACATTTTGGAATAAAAAAATACATTCAGAAAACTTTTATTCCTTTGACAGTTACAGAACTGTCCTTTCCCTACCCATCCCCCTGCAGTTTTCAGCATTACAGATAGTATCACTGCAGACAGACCTAACCTAGTGGGCAGGGGTTCCCATGGGTTTTAGGTTCACACATTGCAGAACAAGATGCATTTGAAAACAAAGTCCTAAGTGATTCGCTTATTGCATCTACTCATTTTAGATGTAATTGTTATTGTAGAAATTATATTGCTAAAATAAATCATATTAAAATTGTTAAAAAGCCACAGTAAACTGCTTCTCCCTTCCCTAAAATAATGGATTCTATTATCTGAAATTTGAGGAGCTGGAAGATCTCCCCCACCCACATCCATTTTAGCAACAAAAATTCAAAACTGATCAGCTTTTTAAATATCTACTGAGAATAGGATTACAAGAACACCAAAGTTTGTCTACATTTAGGGTTCTGACTGCATAGCAAACATGCTGCAAGATTTTGAATATGCTTCAAGCAGCAGTTTGTCTGCCCTAGTGAAATTGGATTATAGAGTAATTAGTTCCCAAGCACGCAGTCTTGAGGTCCTGCCCTGGCATTTTTTTGAAAAAAACCACTAGAGTTCCAGCCCGGAAGTTTTCCTATCTTGACAGACAAAACTAATCTCTCAGTAGAATTCACAAGGAAAAACTACCATCGTTCATAACTATTAGAAGAAAATAGACTTCTACATCCCGTTGTGCAAGATCCATGGGTGTGAAAAGTGGTTTGCGTAGAATCTGAATCATTTTTGCCCCACTGCGTCACATGAGAGTCGCTGAGCAGGCTATCCCAGGGCAGGGGCTCCCTGTCTCTAGGCTCAATAAGTGGCACTCTTCTGGAGGTAGCAGCCTCCAAGGGGAAGGAAAGGGCCGTTCCTCACATTCTGCTTCTCTGGACGGAAGGAACAGAGAACTGAACCAAGGATAGAGCTGAGTTAGGGTCATGCATGGAGTTAGTGGTCCAAAGGAGGGTAGCACTGATGTCTGCAAGTTGGCAGGTTGCCACACACAGCTTCCAGGGCGCACAGGAGGTTTGCTGCAGAGTCCAGCTGGCTCACTTGGCCTTCTGGGCCAGTGGGCTGCCACAGACCTGAAGCTCTCTGTAGGAAGAGAGAAAATAACAACCAGAATTGGAACCAGAATTTCCCTCACTAAGCGATGCAGTCATAAAATGCACTTGCTTTGCTTCACAATGACAATCTGGGCAGTCCTGGTTGCGATTGTTAAATTAATGCCCTGGTTGTTAGCGAGGCAACTTCCTGCCAGCATCCACAATCACGTCAGTGGGGAAGCCAGCAGGACAGTGCAAGCCCCAAGCGCTACCAAGTGGAAGAGGAAGCAAGGGGTACTGGAGGACCAGAGCGGGTGTGCAAGGCCTCAGCTTCTGAAGCCTCTCTGCGCAGATTTTGGCATGGACCTTTTTCAGCCAGAGACCAGAGGGAGTCTCTTGACAGTCAGTTGCAGCTTGCAAGCTTTATTTATTTATTTATTTATTTATTTATTTATTTATTTATTTATTTATTTCAGTATTTATATGCCGCCCAATCCCAAAGGACTCAGGGCGGCGTACAAAGTTAAAACAATGATAAAACAATAAAATAAAGCAGTCATACCGCGAGTCCGATCATATCCCGGCCCCCCGGGGACATCAGCCCCAGGCCTGCCGGAACAGGAGGGTTTTAACGGCCTTCTTAAAGGCCGGCAGGGTGGGAGTAGTTCGAACCTCGGGGGGAAGTTGATTCCACCAGGTCGGAGCCACCACAGAAAAGGCCCTTCCCCGAGGGCCCGCCAGCCGACATTGTCTGGCCGACGGGACCTGAAGGAGGCCCAATCTATGGGACCTCACCGGTCTCTGGGAACTGTGCGGCAGTATGCGGTCCTGTAAGTAACCTGGCCCTATGCCATGAAGGGCTTTAAAGGTGATAACCAACACCTTGAATTGCATCCGGAGACCCACAGGAAGCCAGTGCAGCTCGCGGAGGATAGGTGACACGTGGGCGTACCTTGGCGCGCCCACAATTGGTCTCGCGGCTGCGTTCTGAACCAACTGCAGCCTCCGAACGCTCTTCAAGGGTAGCCCCATGTAGAGCGCATTACAGTAATCCAGTCTTGAGGTGACAAGGGCATGAGTGACTGTGAGTAAAGCCTCCCTGCCAGCCTCTCCAGTGACTTTCTGACAAAGCCAGCAAGAAATACTGCAAATGACCACATGATCACAGGGGGCTTGGCAACTGCTGTAAATGTAAATGGGATGCCAAGCGTCCAGAGCACAGTCTGTAACTTCAGTTTGTCCATTCAGCACCATTGCAACTTTGAACAGGCAGAAGGAACAGCTGTATACGTTAGGAGCTACCTGCCTTCCCTTGAACCAAAGCAGTCTCCGGGTCTGCTCAGCCAGAGATCATTTTGGGGCAGAAACTGAGTGGGTGGCTGCAGTGGAGGACCTGACCAGGGAAGCCTCAGTCTTGCATAAAGCTACGCTGCGATACTTACTAGGCAACTTCAGTGCGGTCACTGCCTCAGCCTAATTAAGCCTTGCTGGGTTGTGATAAATGATTCCTTAAATGTTAATCTGAGCACTTTAGAGAAGGAGGAGCCTACCTGATAGCCACCACCAGATTCTGGTGCCATTTGGCAAAATCCTCCTGATTGCAAGACATCAATAGTAACTTTTTTTGTGGGAAGGAGAGCTGAAAAGAGAGAAAGGAGGACAGGAAACTGCTGGGTGTGACCAAAAGAAAGCATTCCCAGTTCACCCACCCCCGAGTCCCTGGCTGGGGAGTCATCAATGCTTGCCATCTTTTCTGGGCACTAGCCACAGCAGTGCCTCCCACCTTACCCTCTATCGTAGATCAGCCATGGGTTTCAGGGGAGAGGAGCCAGCCCATTGGCAGAACCTGGGACTGCGGGAAGAGCACTTACACTGAGCAGCCCTCCTTGGCTCTGAGTGTGACCAAAGACCTTCTCCACAACGCAGTGACTGAGAGGGTAAACGGCCTGGCAAGCAAACTTGTGTGAATTCCAAGGATGGAGCGGGTGGCAAGGCTTGGCTAACAACAAGATATCAGAGAAAAGGAAGCACCTCCTGCGCTGCATCTCCTTCCCCTTGGAGGGGACCTCCATCAGCCAACCTTCCTGGAGAAACCACCGCCCTGGATGGAGAAAGGACAAAAAACCCAGCTCTGAAACCATCTGAGGTCCACTGGTGACTTCGAAAGTGGTTTCTCTGGGAAATGAAGCATGATTAACGACACCGATCGCTGAGGCAAGCCACTGGCACATAATTCCAAAACTCAGCTGTGGACTTCAAAAATACACTGTGAGATAGCATTTCCAAGTGATAGCCAGGTTCCTAACACGCCAGGAGATTTACTTTAGATTCCAAAATCCTCCATGAAATAAGATTTAAGGCATTGTATAAACATACAGAAATATTAACATCTGAAGGTATATGCAAAATGAGTTTACAATAGATTTGCAATAGGAAACACCATATTTTGTGTGTGTATGTGTTTGTGTTTGTGTATGTATATCCCATTCCTGCCCTAGCTCCTGCACACCTGGCAATTAGAAAGCATGTGAATGTGAGTAGATAAATAAAACTTTGGTGGGAAGGCAACAGTGTTCCGTGCACCTTTGACGTAGTCATGCCAGTCACAGGATCATAGAAGCATCTTCAGCAATGCTGGTTCCCTCAGCCAAGAAACAGAGATGAGCACTTGTGGCCTCTTTTTCAGGATCTCACCAATGTCCTCCATCCATGACTTTCTCTGTCTTCCTCTTGATACTTCCATTCCTCCTTTATGTTTTGCCATTTCCATCTCATTTTCTCTCTTATGACCAAGTCACTTGTACATCATTTTTTCATGCTGGTCCCTCCCTTTTCTATTCAAACTTCATTCATCCAGCACCCATTCCTTCTCGACACATGTCTTCCATTGTGTGAAGTACCAACACATTAAGTACCCCATTCCCATTGTGTTCAACTGGCTTCTGTTTCCTCTGAAACACCCAACTTTCCTTGCACAGTGACAAAATGACTTGAATACTATGTATGTTATATTTATTATACTTATTGATTTTTTTTTGAAGGACAACCTAAGTTAAAATCAAGAGACGAATTGGAAAAGGAAGGTCATACCTGTTTGTTTAAGCTGTTAACAGAAAGGTTTAAATTGGACAAGAATTATGATTTTCCAAATGAGAAAATTGTTTTTGAGCTGGCGTTGTGCACTGACAATAAACCTGTTATTACTAATACGTGTAAACTTTTATTGAAAATTAATATGGAAGATGAATATGTTAAAGATTGTGGTTTCTCTTCCCTATTAGCTTCTTTTCCATTGCTCATCAGTACTGTCAGCTAAATCTACATTTGTATTGTACGTAATATATGCATTTCTAAGATCATAGATAGATAGATAGATAGATAGATAGATAGATAGATAGATAGATAGATAGATAGATAGATAGATACAAGATATATATATATATATCATATATAGCATAATATATATTATCAGAAGTTGTGGTAAGATGGGTGGTCAATAAAATTAATAAATAAATAATTTGTTAAAATTGTATGCCATCTGACTCCCAATAATGCTGTTTTAAAATGAAGTTCTCGAGTATTATATAGTCCCTTTCCTCCATCTCCTGCTGGAGAAAGTTATCAGCCAACCGAGACAGGAATTTCCAAAAAGAACGTTATCTCCCCAAAGATTTAGGAGTCACCAAAGTAGCTTCTTATAACTCTTAAAAACCAAAATGCAGCCCCAAATCAAAAATAACCTAGAAACTATTGCAAAGATCTCCTACAGAACTTGTCTTTGACCAGACCGTGTGGGAAAAAAGCATACAACCTAATAGGATACTCTAGGACAGGGGTTCTGAACCTTGGCAACTTTTGTGGACTTCAACTCCCAGAATTCCTCAGCTAGCAAAGCAAAGCTGGCTGAGGAATTCTGGGAGTTGAAGTCCACAAGTCTTAAAGTTGCCAAGGTTCAGAACCCCTGCTCTAGGAATTCAGTATTTCTCTTTAAAAAAAAAAAAACATCCTTCTCCTGGATGCTAGAGGTGTGATGGCTACAGCCAGCTCTGGAAAGGCAGCTGTGAGGAGAGAAGGGTTGCAAAAAAAAAGAGCTCCATGTATCAAGACTTCCTCTGTTTCTGAATGTCCAAGCCCACACCTTACTGCTAATAAATTTATCCACTAATCCAAAGTAGCACTATGTACTCACCGGATTTTCCCAGCCCCATCTACTTTTGGCAGGTAATATTGGTACACCAACTAAGAGCAGATAGTTTTCCAACCCCCCGAAACTGGACTAGGGAATCCCCCCACACTCTGTTGGTAATACTAAATCCAGAGAGGTTATCCCAACCAGTGGCAGCATGTAGGTCTAGCACTGCTTTCAAAGATGCCTGTGTAAGTTCATCTTTGCCCTGTTGACCCAGAGAGTCCTAGGTGGTGAAGATGAATTTTGCTCAACTGTGCTTCTCTCACCTGCTTCACAACAGCCACAGAGTGAAGCCATTGCTTAGTTTGCTCCTCTTTCCAGCATCATTTCATTAGATAAATGCTTATGAAACTCTGCCTCGTGCAGTGATGCACCAATCACTTGAAAGACATCTGCTGGGTCAAAAGCCTCTGGGTTGATTGCGTGCCTGGTTGGGTTGATAGGTTTTCCCACCTGGTATTCCTGTTCTTTAAATGATTCCCTCCAGAACTGAGCTTGAAGTCAGTTTTGTTAAAGTTTCAAAAAAAGCATTAGAATGTTTCTTAATAATAATAATAATAGTAGTAAAGTTGGAAGAGACCTTGGAGGTCATCTAGTCCAGCCCCCTGCTCAGGCAGGAAACCCTACACCATTTTGGACAAATGGCTGTCCAGTCTCTTATTAAATACTTCCAGTGTTGGAGCATTTACTGCTTCTGGAGGCAGGCTGTTCCACTGATTAATTGTTCTAACTGTCAGGAAGTTTCTCCTTAGTTCTAGGTTGCTTCTCTCCTTGATTAGTTTCCACCCGTTGCTTCTTGTCCTGCCTTCAGGTGCTTTGGAAAATAGCTTAATTCCCTCTTCTTTATGGCAGCCCCTGAGATATTGGAATACTGCTATCATGTCCCCCCTTGTCCTTCTCTTCGTTAAACTAGACATACCCAATTCTAGCAACCGTTCCTTATATGTTTTAGCCTCCAGTCCCCTAATCATCTTTGTTGCTCTTCTCTGTATTCTTTCTAGAGTCTCAACATCTTTTTTACATCGTAATGACCAAAATTGGATGCAGTATTCTAAGTGTGGCCTTACCAAGGCATTGTAGAGTGGTATTAATACTTCATGTGATCTTGATTCTATCCCTCTGTTAATGCAGCCTAGCACTGTTGGCTTTTTTGGCAGCTGCAGCACACTGCTGGCTCATATTTAGGTGATTGTCTACTAGGACTCTGAGGTCCCTCTCACAGTTGCTACTATTGAGCATGGTGCCACCTGTGCAGTATTTGTGCATTTGGTTTTTCTTGCCTAAATGTAGAACTTTGCTTTTTTCACCATTGAATTTCATTCTGTTAGTTAGTGCCCAGTGTTCAAGTCTGTCCAGATCCTCCTGTATCCTAAGCCTGTCTTCTGGAGTGTTGGCTATTCCTGCCAGCTTGGTGTCATCTGCAAATTTGATGAGTTCCCCATCTATCCCTTCGTCCAAATCGTTGATGAAGATGTTGAAGAGCACTGGGCCCAGAACAGAGCCCTGGGGCACCCCACTACACACTTCCCTCCATATAGATGTCAGTTGATAAAGATGTTGATTTCATTGTGTGTGTTTGCCTTTTGTTTTTTTGTGCCTTCATAATAGCGTTGACTTCCGGTAACTGCCTGGAGAAGTTCCTGCAGCTTCCTTGGCAAAGATTCAGAAATGATTTCCTCCTTCCTAGGACTGAGAAAAAAGGAACAGCCCCAAGGACACCCAGCTGGCTTTGTGCCTAAGGCAGGACTAGAATTCATGGTCTCCCGATTCTACAGGTTAAGCCTGATTCTTAACCAGTACACCAAACTGAAACTCTTGTTTGGCCCTTAGTATCTCGTTTTAGACTGGGTTTTTGACAATCTGTTGCATTAATTGCTGGTTTTATTCTGTGTTTGAACTGTGTTTAGTTATAGCCTCGTGATGACAGTCTACTGTAGCATGAGGACTTGACAACCAACACAGAGGCCTCACCTGGAGCCAGCACTTGGGTCTTCCGTCCCTTCAGCTGCTTCTGAATCTGTCTCATCTCCTCCAGGTTCTGACGGACACGAGCAATTTCCTGGACTCGGTTTAGGACCTCCAAGACAGACTTTAGGGCCCCTGCAAGTGACAGCATATCACAGTGGTGGCGAACCTATGGCACGCGTGCCAGGGGCGGCACTCAGAGCCTTCTCTGTGGGCACGCGCGCCATGCCCCGGAGACGGCAACTGTCCCTCTTCAACCAGCCACCCACTAACTCACCGAGGTCCCACATGGCTGGATGCATCCCAGCACTCATGTGCTTGCTGGCCTCTGTGTGCAGGGACTGATGGTGTCAGGCAGCAGCCGCCCCGACCCCTGCCTCACCTTGCCCTGTGACAATGGCACCCCCACTCTGCCTCGCCTCTCCACGCAGAACGAGCCTTCTGCCCACTGCCCCACCTGCCAGAGACTCCCTGGATCTCCCCCAACCCTGCCCGGCTCCCACAGGCATCCCTCCCCACGAGCAACATTGGGGTGATCACACCCACCTTGGCCACACCCATCCAATCTGCCATGACCACAGCCACGCCCATCCAGTGGACCACGCCCACCTGGCACCCAGCGATAAATAAGTGGGTTTTGGGTTGCAGTTTGGGCACTCGGTCTCTAAAAGGTTTGCCATCACTGGCATATCACATCCAAGAGCACCGTAACCTGTTCTCCTGGCTGGCTAACTGGGAAGGGCAGAAAAGCCAACCCTACAAAATTCTGTCAGGCAAGAATCTGAGGTCTCTAATGCTGTGATCAAGAGCTGCACAGCTAAAGGCAAAAACCTCAGGAGGGCATCGCAGGGCTTAAATTAGAATCCTACCTTGGAGCTGGTCAAATCCAGTGCTCTCCGGGGGAGTCTGCTCCACCAAATCTTGCAGCAAGTGTCTGTACCTACCAAACAGATTATCAGAGGCGGAGGAGAGCTAAGCAACTGCCTCTCAGCTGCACATTACAGGTCCCAGCCTGCCCCTCCATACATTTACACCATCTGCACCCCACCTTGCAGAGCAAGCCGTGAGGCAAAGCTCTTTCGGCCTTGGCACCCAGCAGCCTCTCTCGGGAGCCCATGGAGGAGTGGTGGGTGCAGGTTGGCCTCCCAGCCAGACTCTGCTCTAGGAACGGCTCTTTTGCCACTTACTGACGGAGCCTTTGCAGGGGCAGCGGCAGCAGCTCTTCCAGACGGCAACCTTTAAGCTCTGGGCGGGATTCCTGAAGCTTCTTGAAGCGGGAAAAAGCTTTGTTCTTCCTTACCAGTTTCTGCAGATGCATCCCAGTAAAGGGGAGAAGCAGGTCAGGGTGGCTGACCAGCAGGTTCTGAGAACAGATCCCCAGCCTCATCTCCAGACCAAGATCTTGGCTAAAAAACCCAAGGATGTCCTTGGCTGCCAAGAGCAGATAGGTGCAAGAACAATGGGGGGAGAGGAGGATGCTGGGCATAAAGTACTGCCTCTCCCACTCCATCTGACCTGCGAAGTCGCCTGCAGTAAGCAATAAGGGCATACCTTCAGGATGTTCTGAGCCGCTTCCAGATTCTCTGCATAATGGACATAGAACACCAGCTGGTGGCAGAAACTCTCCAGTCCTAATGCAAAATGGCCCCTGGCCAGGTGGAAAAGCAGCGTCCTGTAGGCGGAGAGAGAAGCCCTGAAGGAAATGGCCAGGGGCCGGTGCCCTTTCTGCACTCACCTTCTTCCAGGAAAAAAGAGGCCACTGCAGGCAGCTGCCTAACAGCAAGTGCAAGAACAAAGGGTTCAGCATAAAGAGAAGCAGAAACTGCTCAGAGGTCCAGCTTCTTCTGCATCTGTGTGAGGCTCTCTAAAGTTTCTTGGCTGAACCTGACCAATCACATCTGCCTTTAAAAAAAAGCCACTTACACCTTTTAGGACAGAATCTATCAGCTGACAGAATGGCACTTGACGGCCCTTTGGAGCACTCTGAGCTTGTCTCTTTGCTTGCAGATTTTCATTATCCAAATTAGGTAACATCAACAATGCCGGAGTTACTGGGTAACGTCATATCCAGCACTGACGGAATTACCTGGTTTTGTTAATGAAATGTCTGCAAGCAAAGAGCCAAGCTTCAAGGACCCATCACTTCAACCCTGCGCTAGAAATCTTTTCCTCTAATCAGAATGGGACTCCCCACTTCTGGTGGGCTGTAGGAAGAGTTTCTTTTTTAAGGGTGTGCCTCTTGACAGGAACACCTGGGAAAATACTGGCAAAGATAATCGAGCAGAGGATTCATGAGCATCTAGGACAGTGGTTCTCAACCTTTTTAATGCCGCGACCCCCAACCGGTCGTAAGTCAAGGACTACTCAACCGGTCGTAAGTCGAGGACTACTCAACTGGTGCAGCACCGTTTGCAGAATGGGACTTTTGGCAGGCTCAGCAGGGCAGAGACAGCCTGGACAATTCCTATTGGCTTTTGAAAGCCAATAGAATTAGACTCTATTCAAGAGATTCTATTCTATTGGCTTTCAAAAGCCAATAGAATAAAAGGGAGTAGCACAGCTAAGGAAAACGGGGGAAAAAATGGCGGACTGCGTTGTTTGGCAACCCTCGTGAAATGGTCGTTCGACCCAAATGGGGTCCCGACCCACAGGTTGAGAACCACTGATCTAGTAAATGAACAAGGTGATTAATGGAAGCCAGCATGGGTTTGTTAAAAACCGATCGTGCCAGACAAACCTTATTGCCTACTTTGATAGTGATCAGTAGCTCAGGGAAATTCTGTGGCTGTAGTATACTTGGACTTCAGTAAGGGCATTTGACAAAATAGACCACAGTCTGCTTCTTGGTAAGATAGAATGATGTGGGGTAAACAGTAGCAGTTGGCTAACCAAACCACACCCAGCACGTAGACCTTAATGGGGCTATATCTACATGGAGGGAAGTATGCAGTGGAGCACCTAAATGATCTAGATGAGCGGACAGAAGGGGAACTCATCAAATTTGCAGGTGACACCAAGCTGGGAGGGGGGAGGGCACGGAATTGCCAACACTTTAAATGATGGAGTCAAGTTTCCAAAAGACCCTGGCAGACTTGAGCATTGGGCCCTGTCCAACAAGATGCAGTTCACCAGTGAGAAAAATATGGTCCTGCACTTAGGCAGAAAAACCAAATGCGTAGGTATGGAATAGAAAGTACTTGGATTGACAATAGTAACTGTGAGAGGGATCTAGGAGTCCTGGGGGATCATTGCTAAGGTATGAGTCAATCATGTGCTGCAGCTGCCAAAAAAGCCAGCGCAATTCCAGCTGCATCAATAGAGAGATCAAGGGAAGTGACAGTACCCCTCTATACTGCACTAGTGAGGCCACCCCTGGAAGACTGTGTCCAGTTCTGATCAGCTTGATACAAAAGGGATGGTGAGGCCCTAGAAAGAATGCAGAGAAGAGCAACAAAGATGATCAGGGGTCTAGAGGCAAAATCATACGATGAGCAGCTAAGGGAAATAGGTATGTTTAGCCTAATGAAGGGGAGACACGACAGCAGTCTTTCAGTACTTAAAGGCCTGCCATGGGGAAGAGGGCATCAATTGTTCTCCATAGCTCCTGAGGGCATCAATTGTTCTCCATAGCTCCTGAAGAAGCAATGGGTGGGAGCTCATCAGAAGGAACTTCAACCTGGAAATAGGGATGAATTTCCTGATAGAGTGAGCAATCAATGGAGCAGCTTGCCTCCTGGAGTTGTGGAAGCTCTATTGCTGGAGGACTTCAAGACAAGAATGGACAACTACTTGTCCAGGAATAAGGACTCCTGCCTTGGGCAGGGGATTGGACTAGAAGACCTCCGAGGTCCCTTCCAGCCCTTTATTTCTATAGTTCTATGAAATGGGGCTAACTCCAATCCCTGCATGAAGATGTGCTAAGGCAGTGATGGTGAACCTTTTAGAGACTCTGTGCCCAAACTGCAACCCAAAACCCACTTATGTATCATCGGGTGCTGGCTGGGCGTGGCCCATTGAGTGAGTGTGGCAATTGGGTGGGTGTGGCTGAGGTAGTAACGGCAGACTGGGTGGGACTAAAAAGTTCAATCAATTCCAACTTTGTGAGATTTTTTTTTCCCGCAAAAAGTTGAAATTGAACCTTTTTTTTTTTTTTTGCACACAGCGATGGAGCCTAAAGCAAAAAGCTTTTATAAAACCCAGCTGAAGGCCTAGGACTGGGGTGACGGCGTGCGTGCCCACACATGCCATAGGTTCGCCACCACGGTGCTAAAGTATGTAATATTGTATGCATTTCTTTTTATGCAAAAAGCACAACTTCCTTAATTATGATTGTGCACCTTTAGTTTTCCTTGTTATATACATTTTATTAAGTTTATATAACAGAAGATAAATACTAACAAAAATTAATATAAAGGAAGAATAAAAAAGAGAGAAAGAAGACAAAGGTGCAAAAAGAAAAAAGAAAAAGAAACAGAAAAAAGAAGCTTCTGATTTACTTTGTAGCAAACACAATATGGTTACGTACACCAACCCTTCTGCCATTGTAGGGAGTGCTGAATCTTTTGAGCATATCATATTCTTGCTGCAATTGTCAAATATAAAAGCAAAGTTGCATGCCTTTTTTTGCAGCTGTCTATCCATTATTCCCAAAAGGAAATTCTTTGGTTTCAATTATACATTAGTCTTTAAAATCTGCTGAATGAGTTCCTCTATTTGTATCCAAAATGTTAAACTGTGGGTTGTTCACACATTTCCAACATAAATTTGAAGTGTCTTTATACATTCTAGACACAATCTCTGGTGACTTACACTAACAGCACATCATTTATAAAAATTCTCCTAAAATTAAAATATAATGTAAATTTTAATATTTTCAGCCATATCCTTTTCCCATTGTTCCATTCAATACTGTAATAAAAATTTGTAGCTCATTTTATCATACTTTCTCGCATGCAACTTTAGTTTTTTGAGCCAAATCCTACACACAGCAATATCCAGATAATACTGTTAATGGAGTCTTTTTGTACAGGAGTTGATTAATCAGTAAGACATTTGTCTGTGAACGCTCATTTCCATCTCTCATAGTGGGATGGATGACGTCCAAGGAAGAAGGCCAATGAGAGTGCGCTGTCCTCTCCCCACCCCCCACCTCCAGGCCACAATGCCACAAGGCTGACCTTACCGGCTGGCGGAGCAGATGGACTCCCAGGGTCCAAAGAGAATCTCATGGACGTCCGGGTTCAAGATCCCCTTGGCCTTCAGGGTGACCACAAAGTACTGAAAAGGGACATACAACCAGTGGTGGGATTCAGCCGGTTCGTACCATTTCAGCAGAACCAGTAGCTAATTTTTTGTTGCCCAGACCCAGAATGGACTTCCGGAAGCAGCATCTACACAGACAACTGGTTGTTCACATATTTGAATCCCACCACTGCATACAACCATTACTGTCCAGTTGAAGCTGAATACAACATTCCTATTTCCACTCTTCCTACAGCGTGGAGAAAATCTGGCTCGTTGGGCATCTCAGATTTGGTTCTTTAGTACTGCTTCTTAGTCAAAATAGTTTACTCAGTACATCTACCTTATCGTTGATGGAAGAACTCACATGCCTCTTGCAAGGTAAACTTCAGAGAGCCTGACCTAAATAGAATTTCTTGAACAAGTCTGAGCTAAAACTGGCCTTTGTTTATGCTCTGACCCACTAGCCAAACTGGGCTAGCTGACCAGGAATCTCTTTAGAACAGGCATGTCAAACTCACGATGTTGCACGATGTATCACGACTTTTTCCCCATTGCCGGCAATGGGATAGGCGTGGTTTCGGCGTGACGGGCCGGCAGTTTGACATGCCTGCTTTAGAATGATGGCCATGACATGGGTACTAGATAGGCTGCTAATTTAGCAAAAAAACTCAACTGACCAAAGCCACAAAGGGCAGCAGAAGTCAAATCCATGGGACCCTGTTGGTGACGACCTGAGAAGACTGTAACTCAGCACATAAAGAGTAAATGGTGATGAATTACCAAATAAAAAGCAAGAAATCAAAATAAATACGCTTGTCTGTGAAATTAAGGGAAAATAAAAATATGTAATTCTAAAAAATCTCAAATTGTAGAAGAAATTCAAATCTAAGCCATGTTTATGTATCTTAGTAAAGAAGAGGATTTTAAAATTAAAATAATTGGAATGGGAAGAATAGAATAGAATAGAATAGAATAGAATAGAATAGAATAGAATAGAATAGAATAGAATAGAGAGTGGAATGGAATGGAATGGAATAGAGAATGGAATGGAATGGAATGGAATGGAATGGAATGGAATAGAATAGAATAGAATAGAATAGAATAGAATAGAATAGAATAGAATAGAATAGAATAGAATAGAATAGAATTCCTTTATTGCCCAAATGTGATTGGACACACAAGGCATTTGTTTCCAGTGCATAAGCTCTCAGTGTACATACAAACAACAAGGTAATATAATCAGAGTGCATGCAAACATAAAAACAACATGTACATGCAAACAGCAAGGTAAGTGTGGCACAAAAAAAGTGTGTACAAAAAGAGTTTGAAAAAGGAGGACACTGAGAATGTGGCTGGCTGAAGTTGAAATGATCCAGAAAAACAATGAACTGCAAATTTTAAAGTAAAAAACAACCTATGAAGTAGTGGAGGCAAATATGGCTTGGAAAAAATAGAGAGGCAGAATGAATGTAAGCTTCCCTTTTCTCTTTCTTATCTCCAGTTTCTTCTCTCCCCCCCCCCCCATATAAATAAGGTTTCCTAACCAAAGCAAGTCCAATGAACATTGTTCAAGTCACCAACATCCCAGACCCCAATCCTCCACTCTCCTCTTTGAAGGGGGGGGGGGCTGGCATGCTCTTAAACCTCTCTCTCTCTCTCTCTCTCTCTCTCTCTCTCTCTCTCTCTCTGAATGGGGTGGGTGAGAGAGAGCTGCTATTACAGTTTCTTCCTGTTGCTTTGTTTTGTTTTAAACATTTCCATAAACTGCTGTTTTCAGTTGCCTTACACAAGGGGAAGTAGGTATGCATTAGGGAAAAATGCATTGGTGCATTGGTGCATCTCAGGTTACTCCCGTTCCAGAGAGTTTGAGTAGCTTCCAGTATTAACAAAGATTAAAAATAAGTATCAATTAACTCAATGATGTTCAACCACTCGCCCCTTTGGGAGATCTTACTCATCCCTTTTTTTTTTTTCTTTAAGAGCGCGCTCTCCATAACCGGGCTGCTCCAAAGGAGAGAAGCCCCTAAACCCGGGCCGCTCCCTCGGCCTTTTTCCTTCCGGGAAGGGTCGGGGGGGGGTCCTGCCACGTCCCTCCCCGCTTCCCGCTTGCCCCACGAATGGAGCCCGCCCGCCGCACCCACGGGCACCCAGGAACGCGCAATAGGCGCCGGAGCCTCGCGCGCCCTGAGCGGCGGCCGCCTGCCGAGCGCCCCCTCCTCACCGTCGCGACCCCTTCCAGCTGCTCCAGGTATCGCCCTTCGGTGCGGAGCAGCTCCTCCGCTCGGCCGCGGCGCTGGAGCTCCGGCGAGGAGCCGCGGCTGAGCCCGGAAGGGCCCGGAGCGGAGGCGCTCATCCCCGCGAAGGAGGGTCCGTCGCGGGTTCGGCTTTGGACCTGCCGGGAGCCCAGCGGAGGGAGAGAGAACCCGCGCTTACGCCGCCGCTCTTCTCGGACAAAGTAGCTGGGTCGCCCGGAGCAGCGCCGCCGAGGCTCCCGCCCGCGTTCAAACGGCCGCCCAGCGCCGCCCCTTCCGGAGCCACGAGGGAGGGAGGGGAAGAGGCTGGGGGAACGGCTGGAGCAGTTTTGTAACATAGTATCAGGGTCTTTCATTTGAGCATTTGCACTTTTATTAAGGCTCAGAAACCGCGTCCCCGTTTGCTTTCTTTTGAGTTGGCCGTTTTGCACGTCCTTGTTCCAGCGGCCTTGAGAGTCGCTTAGCCAGGGAAGTGAGATCAAGTGTCCATTCCCACTTCACAACACAAGAGACCAAACCCATCAGGGCAGGATTCAGCCGTCCATCTGCATTTAAAAAGCAAAGGCCACATTTTGGACAGAGAGGACCGCTGGTTTGAAAGAGGGGTCCAAGAGGCCATCTAGGTCAGCGATCTCCAACCCCTGGTCCATGGACCAGTACCGGGCCACGGCATGCCAACAACCGGGCAACACAAACAAGCGAAGCCCCATCTGCGGGATGCAGGCAGCACACAAAACCACACACCCTCCAGTCCGCGGAAAAACCTCTCTCCATGAAACCATCCCTGGTGCCCTAAAGGTTGGGGACCTCTGATCTAGGTCAAAATTGAACAGCCCTCACTCAACAGAGGGGGAGGGATCCGGCATCACCTATCTCCAGTCTACAACACAGTCCTTTCAGCAGTTCCAAGAAGTCTCCACACCCGTTTGCACCAATCAGGTGGCCCTGAGGACACAGGCAAACCTCCAAGTGGCCTCAACGACTCTCTAAAAGAATGAAAATGACCAGCTGTCTGCAAGAAATAGAAATCCTTCCATTCTCCACCATCCAGTCAGAGCTGAAGAAGCTTCTTGGATGAGAAACAAAACACTTTCAAATTAAAACAAGGAAGTCCATTTGCCTCATGAAAAAACACCTTTGGGACATTCAAAGAACAGTTTCAGAGGCCGTGGGATGTCTGGAAGGAGCTCCTTATCTGGAATGGGGTGAGGGGATGGATTTCCAGAGTGTGAGAAAGGAAGAAGTTTAAAAATAAAACGGTCACAATTGATCAACAATAGAAAGATTAGCCAAGCCCTGTAGGTAGGCACTAGATTCCAGGAGGCTTGGCTAGAAGACACATTTAACTAGACAAAAGGATGGCAGAGGGAAGTTCTAAACCAGTGGTTCTCAACCTGTGGGTCGGGACCCCATTTGAGGGTCGAACGACCCATTTCACGGGGGTCGCCAAACAACGCAGTCCGCCATTTTTTTCCCCTTTTCCTTAGCTGTGCTACTCCCTTTTATTCTATTGGCTTTTGAAAGCCAATAGAATAGACTCTCTTGAATAGAGTCTAATTCTATTGGCTTTCAAAAGCCAGTAGGAATTGTCCAGGCTGTCTCTGCCCTGCTGAGCCCGCCAAAAGTCCCATTCTGCAAACGGTGCTGCACCAGTTGAGTAGTCCTCGACTTACGACTGGTTGAGTAGTCCTCGACTTACAACCGGTTGGGGGGTCACGGCATTAAAAAGGTTGAGAACCACTGTTCTAAACAATGTATCTGAGGGGGAGGGATGTATTCTGGCTAGGCAGATCGGAAAGATTGTGCCCCCGGAAGTCCTCTCAAATGGGACCTAAGGGGAGGGGATGGGGGCGTTGCGATAGGAATGTATATAATGTTATGAGTTTGAATATTTTGGTGTGGTCTCTGGGTTTAGAACTTCCTGTTGAAGTCTCTCACCAGGATCCACCGCGCTTTGCAAACCGCTTTTCTATTTTCTGCAGAATAAACTCTTTTTCTTACCAATCCAATTTTATTGGTATTTTAATCACGTTTCCAACAAGAGGAGGGGCTGAGCTGTGCTTCATGGAGGGGCCCATTGTGGTGGCCCATCCAAGAGTTTGCTGTCATTGCCCTTAGATACGAATAAAGAGTTTGTGCATTCACCGGATGTTTTTATCAACCCAGCTCAGGAGAACTGGGTAAGGACTAAGTGATAGGCAGTCCTCCACTTAGCAAAATTTGACCAAACTTTCCATTGTTAATGAGGTTGTTAAACAAATTACACCCAATTTTATGACCTTTTGGCCAAGTTTGTTAAGGGAATCACAGCCGTTAAGCAAGTTGGGCTTCCCCATTCTCTTGCTAATCAGAAATTGATTGGGAAGGGTACAAATGGCGATCACATGATCCAAGGCATGAAACCATTGTAAGTCCATGTTGGCTGCCAAGCACCTGAATTTTGATTGCATGACCCTGGGGATGCTGTTATGGTCATAAGTATGAGGGCCAGTCATAAACCACTTTTTTCAGTCCTGTCATAACTGAACAGTCACTAAACAGTTGTAAGTTGAGGACTACCTGAATGTGAACATAGTCGTAGGGCGCTGACCCACTGGGTTCCATATGAGGAGGGCAGTGGGAAAGCCAGCATGCTCTGTGTGGGGAGGAGAGGACCTGGCACCCTCCCTGCTAAGAGATGGGGGGATGCTCTAAGTTGCCAGTGGAGCCCCCAACTCCCCTCCAGCCAGACCCAAGTTGGGGAGAAGGTCCAGCATGCGAGCCTGTCACCTTCCCCCTGGAAGTGTGCCCCCTTGCCCTGTTGGGTTCTTCTTCGCTGTCCTGAACTCACTTTCTCACTGCATTTAATGCTGGCTGGTATCAAGCAAAGACCCCGAGAATGGTGCAGGAAGCCCCCTCCCCAGTGGGCTTCTGCACTGCAACAGAGAAGACCACATGCTGCAATTGGGCACAGCTGGGGGGGGGGAGAGAATCAGATTCAGTAGCAATGAATATTCCAGGTTTTGTAGAACAGAATCAAGGGTAAGGGTAAATTAGTAACTTTTATCCTCAACAGAGAGTAAACCCCCCCCCTCCTTTCTAACACTGATGGTGTTACCTAGTTGGGTCATGAAACATCTCAAGAAAATAGCCAAGCTTAGAGAGCACCGAGGACCCTACAATTCAATCCTGAGCCACGGATATTCCCTTCTATTGGTAACATTTCTATATGTGCGTCATTTTTTATTCTTTTTGCTTTTTTATTTTTTTCAAAAAGAAATAACTTTTGCAGAGGGCAGAGGGAATAACCTTGAAGGACAGGAGGTGGAACCTCTCCCAAGGCAGATAAAAGAGGACCGAGTCTGGGTCGGGATTGTAATCTGAATAAACCTCTCAAGTCCTGCCCAGATCTCACAGAAATAAAGGAAGTGAGTGGGGAAGTGCCTTCAGCACAGGCTTTCAGTGGTGTGGAGGAATGGGAGAAAAGAGAACTGTGGATGCCACCTTGTGCTCCCGAAGAAAAGGTGGGATATAAATCTAACAGACAACTACCGTAGGATCCAGCTTCCTTCCCCACTTACTGTTCTTTTTAAGGTCTCCTGGACTTTTCCAGAGAGTTTCTCTTCCTGGTTTCCAGTTAATCTCTAACCTCTGCTTTATCTGAACTTATTTTATTTCAAAATAAGGTTTTCAAAAATAGATGCAGTTAGTTGGTGTTATGCAACATTTTAAAAAGCAGCTCTAAGATGTGATAGCAGGCTTGTAAGGCATTGCTGTGTTGATCCAATCAAAGATTGGGGAACGTTCACATTTCAGAAGTGTTTTGTCAGTGCCAGATGAAGGTGCATTACAGGTGCTCCCAGGTTTGGCTTATGGTCGCTCACAGGCCATTGAAACTTGCTTTTTACCTGGGATTTCCAGATAAGCGCAGCTAGAACAGATGGGATGCTCAGCTCTGGTCAATAACTGGGCGATAATTATGGATGTGCACAAATTGCTTTGAACCAAACAAAACAAATTCTTTGGGATATTTGGAGAATCAGCTCAGGACTGAATGTTGCTGGCTCAGGAATTCTGGGAGTTGAAGTCCACAAGTCATAAAAGAGCCAAGGTTGCCTACCCCTGGTCCAGAGCATATATATGGTATAAGCGTACATATGAATTGAGATGGGCTGGGCACTTTCAGTGAGGAGTTGAACACTGTTTATTATTCAGGACGTGAAAAGAAGAACTGGCTGTTCCTTTTATAGCTAGAAAGAGCACAGCAAGAGCAATACTGGGTTACAGTGCAATCAATAGCCAAATAATATCAACCAGGCTTTGTGGACAACCTTTTAACCCGCTGATTATCCGATTATCTAATTCGGTGATGGCGTACCTTTTAGAGATCAGGTGCCCAGAAACCACCACCCGGCCCCCGCTCTGCCTCCCGCCCTGCCTGCTCCGCCCCCACCCACCCCCTGCCCCATCTACCTGCAGAGCTATGCACTGCCTCCATGGCCTACTGCAGCAGATCGCTACGCAGCCCTGCAGCACCATGGCAGCCATGCCCTCTGCCCACAGCCCGCAGCATCACCTACACGCTATGGGGTGCAAGGGTGGAGTCTTGTCCCTGTTGCCCGGGGGGGGGCGACTCTCCTCCAGGGGGGCTGCTGGTGAGGAGGAGGCCGTGGGGGGAGGCGGGGCTGGGGCAATGGCATGAGTGCCCACAGAGAGGGCTCCGAGTGCCGCCTCTGGCACCCGTGCCATAGGTTCGCCACCACTGCTCTAATCACTGATGCAGAAGAAGAAGAGTTTTATGATGCTGTGGTAATTGGAGACTGGAATGCCAAAATTGGAAACATTAAAGAGGAAAATGTCTTCCCTTTGCACCCCAGACAGACCCAGATTCTCAAACCGCCCCTGCCAGACCCCTTCGCCCTCTTGGTAGCCCGCTTCTGAACTTGCAACCTTTCCATACAGCTCCGACTGCCAAGGCAGCAGGCTTCTCCTTTCTTTGGGGGGGGGGCGAGGGGAGGTACTTGAAGAGCAGATGGCAACGGGAAGAAAGAAAGGGCGCGCTCTTGCTCTCTTTCACCGCAATGGCTGATTTGGAGCCACGAATCGGGGATACGACGGCGGGGGGAGCGCCCTGAGCTTGGCGAAAGAGAAGTGTCGCTGCTAGGGCGGCCCTTGGAGGCTGCAACGAGCAAGGCCTCTTGGGGAGAAATTCTTCCCAAGCGCCGAAGGGGAGGGGGGGCTTTATTGGCGGACCCACAGAGTCTCTTGGCCCTCCATGCCCCCCCCCCTCGGTTGCAGACTTCCCACCGTCTGGTCTGTGGAAGGCTGAGCCGCTGGGCCAATTTGCGCCCTGCCCGGGCTGCGTTCCCGGCAAAGAAAAAGACTCACCCGAAAGGCGTCAGGGTCGGAGCGTGACCCTCCCCCTCCCCGACGCACACCTCCTCGACCAGCCCAGGGGAACGGGCGCCAGGGCGGCTTGGAGGAGCCGGCCGGGTGAAGTCCTTCCAGGCTCCCCCGGGCTCGTAGACACGGCCATTCCGAACAGACCGGCCGGGGCCGAGCCTAGGGCTGTCCAAGTGCCTGGCTCGGCCCTGCGAGAACCGACCGGCAGCCCCTCTCGGTCGGGGAGCTGCCGGCCGGACAGCTGCGCGCACGGAGAAAGCCCCTCGTCTCGCGGCGCCTTTAAGCGCCTTCCGACTCGAGCTCCTCCCCTCGTGAGTGGGGCAAGGGGCGAAACGCCGATCCCCGACGATCAGAGGACTAAAGCCACGCCTTTCCGCGGGGAAAAGTTGCCCGCTTGGAGGTGCGTCGGTGGGTGAGGCGGAGTCCAGTAACCGGTCCTGTTACTTAGGAGAGCGCGCAAAAGGCGCGGCGCCGCGCTTTTCTATAGTCTGATGTTAGCCAGGAGCGATTCGGTTATTCGGCCAACGCACGATTCATCTTGTATTTCTGACTTTTCTTTTATTCGTTATTTATATACCGTCCATCTCGGTGTTTGGGGCGACCCGTTGCCTGATGTTAGCCAGGAGCGATTCGGTTATTCGGCCAATGCACGATTATAATAATAATAATAGTAGTAAAGTTGGAAGGGACCTTGGAGGTCATCTAGTCCAACCCCCTGCTCGGGCAGGAAACCCTACACCATTTCGGACAAATGGCTGTCCAGTCTCTTCTTAAAAACTTCCAGTGTTGGAGCATTTACTGCTTCTGGAGGCAAGCTGTTCCACTGATTAATTGTTCTCGCTGTCAGGAATCTTGTATTTCTTACTTTTCATTTATTCGTTATTTATATACCGTCCATCTCGGTGTTTGGGGCGACCCGTTGCTGCCCAGCGTGGCAGCAGCCAGCTTGGAGGCTTTCAAGCTGCCAGATAAGTTCCTGGTGGTTAAATTATGTCGCGGCCGTCGGATTTCAATTGGTCCCGACCGTAAACGGGACTAGATTTTATAAATTACGTTGAATCGGCCACATCGTACAGGGCAGCCTGGAGACTTGCTCTTTCCTTTTATGCAGCGTGGGAGTTAAAATTATAACATTATAAGCTGCAACGAAACCGTTGCACCCCGGTGGTAGAGACCCAATGGAGCGCCCGGTGAAGAGTGGGCGAAAGGGCTGCTGCTACTGCATCATCTGAGGTCCAGCCCAGCCTCCAGAGCAGCGCTGCCATTTACGAAGAGGCTCGCCCAGGATGTTGGCGCCGAGTCTTAAGGAAACGGAACGTGACCTGCCTGGGGTGCCCCATGGCGCGGGAAGAAGGCTCTGGGAATCGCTCACTTCCGGGAGATTTTGGCCCAAGCTCGTTTCTGAGCGCGAGTATTCCTACTAAGGTCCAAGCCACTGGGGTCAGGATCGATCTGAGGACTGCGAGCCTTGGCTGCCCCGTTGAAGGTCCCTGGTCGGTCCCGCTATACAGTGTTTCTCAACCTTGACAATTTTAAGGCACGTGGATTTCAACTCCCAGAATTCCACAGCCAGCATTGCTGGCTGTGGAATTCTGAGAGTTGAAGTCCACGTGCCTTAAAATTGTCAAGATTGAGAAACACTGCGCAATTAGCTCCTCGAATCCCCAAAAGCAGCAGGCGTCCCGCCGCCGCAAAAAGAAATCCTTTGCCGGATTAGCCCTCGAGACTAATAATTTCAAAGGGCCGCACGGGTTCCTCCTCGCCTCGCCCTTCCTCCAGGGTCGGTGGGTGGCAGAGAGCGCTCTGGGGGGCTGGGAGGGCAGGAGCCGGTTCCCCTCAGGGCCCCCTGCCCCAGAAGCAGCTTCCAGCGCCCGCATCTGCCTAAGAGACTGGGCGGCCTTGGTGCAGCTTCCAGCCACCTCTCAGCCCTCCAGCAACGCCGCTCCAGGCGCAGAAGGCCGGTTCTGCCTAGAGAAAACGGCGGGAAGGAGGGGAAAAAAAAAAAAACCTCCAGGCGCGGGAGGCTGGCAGGGGTCCTTTGCCCGAAGCCTAGGCTGACCACTCAAGAAGTCCCGTCTCGTTTGGGGTTTGCTGACCCTGGAGCGCATCCTTCTCGCCTTCTGGTCTCCCAGCTTGGATCGGCTGACTTTTCTTCTGCCTCGAAAGACGCCTGGCCCCGAAAATCAGCCCGGTCCAAATCAGCCTCTGGAGGAGGAGAGCGGCCTTTCCTGCTCAAAATCCACGAGGACGCGCCGTGCAGGAAAAGGGAAAGGAAGAGGAGGGCGTGAGCAGCCTGCCGGTGTGAGAACGGACTGAGCCGGACGGGCGGGGCGGGGGGAGGATCCCTGTGGCCACGGCTATTCAGCCAAGGGTGGCTGGAAGGTGCCCTGCACCCACAAGCGAGGTCGAGCGGCGATGCCTGAAGCCTCGGCCAGGGCCGAGAGGGGGCATCGTCTTCCCGCGGAGCTCTAGCGCTTCCCTCCGCGGGCCAAGACGAGGCGGCGCGGCGCGGCACGATTCCCTCGCTATAAAAGGCGGCAAGTCCCTTGGATCTCCGGGAGACGCTCTACGGCGACGGACTCCCGGCCTGGCTGGCTGCAGACGCGACCTCGGGTGCAAACCAAGATGCGCAACTCGCAGAGGCCGAAGCTCCGGTTCTCCTCGCTGCAGCTTCTGCTGCTGCTGTGGGCAGCCCGGCGACCTTGCGCAGCGGGCGACGAGGAGGAGGAGGAGGAGAAGGAGAAGGAGGACGCAGGTGGGTGAGAGGCGGGCGCGGCGGCGGCAGAATTCCCCCTCCACCACCGTCGGGGCTTCGTTTCGGACTGTCAGCTCCACCTGCTGCTTCAACGGCGGCTGCCGGCAGGGCTGCTCCGATTTCCCCGCAACACCCCTCCGTCAGTCCGCTCAGTGGGGATGCGATAGGGGAGACGGATCCCCCGCTCTCCGTCCGAAGAAGCCCTTGAAAACTCCTCGGATCTCCCGTGTGGTCGCACCGGCTGGAAATGAGAGAGGTCGGGAGTCCGGCAAGGCCGACTTCCTGGGCACCAGAATGCCCTTGGCTGCCCGCCGCCTGCGACTCCCTTTCCCGGCGGTTCTGGAGCAAAGTCTGCTCCGGAGTCAAATTTTTAAGCGGGCCGCGCACTCCAAGGCAAACAGAGCGGTAGCTGGGAAGACGCCAAAGGCTCTTGGAACAGAAGGGTCCCTGGTTGTCTGTGTGCCTGTGTGCGTGTGTGTGTATGTGTGCGTGCGTGCGTGCATGCATGCTATGGACTCCACGCAGCAACCCAGCTAAAATATCCTTAGTGACGGTTGGTCGCCTGTCTTTTGCTTGGAGCAAAGTGTGCCCAGGAGCATGGTCTTTGGTTCCCCTCTGTCGCTGTCAGGATGTTCAGCTGCCCAAGGTCAACGACCTGCTTTCTTTGTGTGTGTTTGTGTGTGTGTGTTTTCTTTGAAACAGTAAGCTTTTCTATTTGGCTTGTAACTCTGAGGAGTGCAGCCTCTGAGCTCCAGAATGTAGATGGTTTGTGCAGCTGGAAACCTTTTCTTCCTGTTAGGAACTTTTTCGTAAATTTGGGAGCCGCCATCTCCATTTCCAGGTCCAGGTAAATACCCATCCCTTTCCCTGCTGGGTAACCCAAAGGAGGGTCCTCCATCTAGCAATCTCCTCCAGTTAGCTTTTAGCGCTTGCTGAGTATCTATCTGCCTTCTGTCCTTGGCTGAGGGTAGCTATTCAATTTAGAGCAGTGGTTCTCAACCTGTGGGTTGGGACCCAATTTGGGGTCGAATGACCATTTCACGGGGGTCGCCAAACAACGCAGTCCGCCATTTTTTTCCCTTTTCCCTAGCTGTCCTACTCCCTCTTATTGGTGGCCACACCCACTTGGGGGTCACCACAACATGGGGAACTGTATTATGGGGTCACGGCATTAGAAAGGTTGAGAACCACTGATTTAGAGTGCTTAGTCTGAGAGAGACTAAGTAGGGAATCACGTTATAGGACAGTTGCATTACATCAGTGGTTCTCAACCTATGGGTCGCGACCCCATTTGGGGTCGAACGACCATTTTACAGGGGTCGCCAAACAACGCGATCCGCCATTTTCCCCCCTCAGGGGGCGGTGCCGCGCATGCGCGCCGCGCAGGGGGGCAGCGTCGTGTGTGCGTGCAGCGCCGCGCATGCGCACCGTGCATGGGGCGGTGCGCGCATGGGGGCGCTGCCGCGCATGCGTGGCGCATCCATGTGACGGGGGTCGCCGTCACAGAAACGTTGAGAAACGCTGCATTACATGGTTGCTCAAAAGTAACTCTTGTTGTATTATGGAGGTTCTCTGAGTTACGTTTGGGGTTGCAGATGTTCCTATTGGGCAACATAGTTAGTGCAGGAGTTTTGAAAGCGATATTATTGAGCTCCAAGTAAACAGGTGTAGGATTGCAGCCTAAAGACTTAATTGCAGAGTAAAATGTTCTCCCCGTTGTGGATCATTGGTGGGGCTGATCCTGAAGGGCTCACTGCTGTACAGCCAGCCAGCCCTCGTGAAAATGTTTAGCACAGGCTTTCCTTCCAATTTAATTTCTATTCTGTTCAGTAGGATGATGGGGCCCCGCTTGGCTTGGCATCTGTGGAAGCGGAAGGCACTTGACTGAATTTGAGTTGCTGTGTGCAGTCAGGGTAAACCCACCCAGCCACCCCAAAAAAACCTGGGAGGGCTTTTTCCCAAACATTCCTAGAAAGGCAGTGGCAGAAGCTTTTCAGATGGACCTGCTTTTAAAGGGTCCCTGTGTGTCCACCCAGAATTGAGCAGTTCTTCTCTTGTGCATGGGCAGTTGGACAGCCATGGCAGCTCCTGTTCTATCCCAGCCTATTGCTGTCCTTGTTAAAGGCACAAGGACCAAACCCCTGCTGATATAATAGGCTGGAGACTTTAAAACAAAACAAACCCCTTTTAATATGGGTGACAAACCTCACAAATAGTCCAAAAACACAAACAGCAAAACTCAAGTCCAAAGAAAGGAAATAGTCCACAGGAAACACGATGCAAACAGAAGAGTAGTCACAAGCAAGACGAACAGACCAGGATTCCAAGAAGCACTTTGCAAACTGTTGCCTTCAGCAATCAGCACCGCCCACACCTCCTCTTTTTATACAGCAGTCCCAAGGTGTTGCCTCTCTTTGCCTTCTCCTTTTACTCTGCAGTAGTCGCATTGACTGCTGCTGATTTACTCTTGCTAATTGACGACGTGTGCGTGTGTCAATTAGCAAGTCCATCAGGTGTGAGTCTTCCGAGTCTGACTCATTCTCCTCACACAGCTGAGCTTCATCAGGAACACGACTGGAGGGCCCAGGCCCTCCATCAAACCATGAGTCCTGTAATTCATCAGAGCCTCCCTCTGCCCCTGATGGCCCTTCAAATGCCTCCTCCACCTCAGAGTCCTCAGACTCAGCTGTTGGGAGCACAGGCTGGCATGGAATCACAACAGTTCCGTGCTGTGCCAGGTCTCCTCTTTTCTACTTCTGGTTCCCAGATGATCAGCCTCCCCCATCCCAGAAAACATGGCTGGTCAGCCACCCACCCACCGACCCACCCGCTCAGTCACTCTGGAAAGAGGATGCTGGGCTTCTGGGCACTTCCCACACTCTCCATGGCTTTGCTGAGACACATGGCCTTCCACTGAGCTCTCATCCACTCAGGCGCTCCTACCGTAGTAGATCCCTTCCCCCACCTTCTTCTACAGTTCAGTCACAAAACAGGCCATGGAGTTCCAACGGAGCTCTCTGAAGAGCAAACTGCTGAGAGGGGCATTGAGGGAGGAAGAAAAATCCCGGGGTGGGGTGGGTCCTGCGGGGGAGCCCCTCCAAACTTTGGCCACCTCGTATCGACATGCCCCCCACATGTCAGGTGGAAAAGGTGAGGATGACTGTCTGAGGGGCTCCGAGGCAGTCACAAAGGCTAAAGGGGGAAGGGGTGGCTGCAACTATCTGCTGACTCTCCCCCCACTTGAGCACAGGGAGAACCTTGCAAGAAATTGCTCTCCCCCTGCAGCCCCCCTCGCGTCCCAGCCTAGACAGCACCTCTGCCAGGAGAGGACTGTCTCCATCCAGAGTTGCTTGGTGTAGATTACAGAAGTCCCCAACCTTGGCAATTTTAAGACTTGTGGACTTCAACTCCCAGAATTCCTCAGCCAGCCAAGCTGGCTGAGGAATTCTGGGAGTTGAAGTCCACAAGTCTTAAAGTTACCAAAGCTGGATGGAGACACACACACACACCCCAAGGTCGCACAAAAGAGCTCAGCAAGGCAGCTCTGATTCCTGAGGTCAGGTGGGAGAAGCTGCCACTCTTCCTTAGTGAGCCTTCCCTTCCCCCAGCCAATCTCCTTCCTTTGCAGCCCCCCACCCTGTGGAAGGCCCTCTGATGGACTTCCACCTTTTCGGGATTTAAAAGCACATCTGAGAAGACCAGGCTTGTTCCCCGAGCATTGGGATGGTGCGAGGGGAAAATCTGTGGGCTCTGTCAGGAAAGGGTGATGCCAGTTTTTCTTCTCTTTGATTGTTTCTTGTATTTTATTCCCGCCTGTAAGACACCCAGAGTTTGGTTTAAGATTTGCAAATGTTTTAAATAAATGGATTCCGGGCTGCCACCCAGACTTCCCATGGGGGGGGGAAGAATCTCTTAGACTCCCCTTCTGCCTCCGTAACCTCTTCCAGGGGTAGCCAGGAGATGTTTGGGGGGGGGGATGCGGTGTGCAACTGTTCACAGATCAGCCTAGACTTCCATCTGAGTCTGCGGTGTACAATTGCTCTGCCTGGTTCATGGCCTTTTTTAGGGGATCCACGGATGGCGCCTCTCCATAGGAACTCGCCAAGGCTATTTTTGCAAGCAAAACCAACAGTTTTAAGGCGGGATTGGCAGAAAGGCTATGGTGCTATTGGAAATTCTGTTTGGAAGACTTCTAAGCCCCTTAGCTGACAGGATATCCCTACCCTGTCTTCTTGGAGGAAAAAGGACAATCATGGGCGCAAAAAAGAGGGGGGGGGGAATCCTTTATCCATGGTTGGTATTTTACTTCTTTCTTTATATAAGATTAGCCTACAGGATCGGGTCAAGATCTTTCAGAGTCTGGCTATCTCCCAGGGGCACTTAGGTGCTTTGCAAGCAGAAGTCTGAGGACGCAACACCCCCCACCACTACCACCACCTGCACTATATTATACCCTCCACTGGAGTTGGAGGGAGGTTGTCCCCACCTGGAGGTGACACTTGCCCCTGAATTTCTTCAGCCCCCCCCCCCCCGCATTAAATTAAACTAAATTAAAACCATCAAAACTTGTGTCCATCTCTACTTCTTACGGCAATGGCTTGCCAGCTTTATTATGCACGAGATAGAGATGTATAGTTGCGATTCCCTCGTTACATACTGCACAGGATTTCATACCTGGATCATTCACCCCTGCCCTCCCCCCTCCCATCTTGCAGAAAGCAGCTTGGCGGGGTGGCAGCGGGATGAAAACTTTGCCTCTGCCAGCCGGTACTCAGGTGGAAGCAGTCCCCGGTCTTTTGAAAGGCAAAGATCTGGTGGTTTTAGATTGGCGTTTCCCCGCAGGTGCCTCCGATCCAACCTCAGGACTCCTCTGGGGTCACTAGAGCAGTGGTTCTCAACCTGTGGTTCGGGACCCCATTTGGGGTCGAACGACCATTTCACGGGGGTCGCCAAACAACGCAGTCCGCCATTTTTTCCCCTTTTCCTTAGCTGTGCTACTCCCTTTTATTCTATTGGCTTTTGAAAGCCAATAGAATAGATTCTCTTGAATAGAGTCTAATTCTATTGGCTTTCAAAAGCCAATAGGAATTGTCCAGGCTGTCTCTGCCCTGCTGAGCCCGCCAAAAGTCCCACTCTGCAAACGGTGCTGCACCAGTTGAGTAGTCCTCGACTTACGACCGGTTGAGTAGTCCTCGACTTACGACCGGTTGGGGGTCGCGGCATTAAAAAGGTTGAGAACCACTGCACTAGAGGAACCTGTGGAGGAGCCTCAATAAAAGAGGGAGGCAGGTGCCCTACCTCTTTAGCTCAACATCCAACCTCTGGCCCCGGGCTATCACTCCAGGTCTTTTTACCTCAATCTACCATGTGGTTCCCCATGTCAGAATTAAAATGGAGTGGGGGAGGGGCAAGGAGAACCTCCTCATTTTGCTTCTCTGGGGAGGAAAGGGTGGCTGAGCAACTCAAGTCAGGTTCTCTCATTTGCTCCCCAGGTCATCCAGGGCACAAAGACCATCACTGGAGCTACAAAGGTAAAGGCCTGGTCTCGCTCCCCTGGGCCCCTGGCCAGGTGAAGGCTGGTTAATGATCAGCCAGATCTGGTCACACCTGCTGCTGGTCTTCTCCGGCTATTAAGCCCAAAGCCTACCTCGACATATCTGGGTCTCAGGTTGTAGCAGCAGGGAATGCCTGCTCCTGTCCTTCACCTGCCGCCCCCCCCCCCAGCCATTCCTTAGCCATTGCAGGTCATTATTCATACCCACCTGCCAGCATTGTCCCTGAAGTAGAGGTAGCAGCGGCGATAAGAGCTGTCCTTGCACTGAGCCCCCCCAAGGGCATGTGACTGCATTCCATGGGTACCTCCCTCCCTCCCTCCTGCCTGCCCAGCTCAGAGTCAGCCCACCTGCACTTATAGACTGGAGGTGAGCCTCCTGGCTGCTGCCCAGATCGACCCCAAGATCCGGCTGCTTCACTGGCACCGTAGCCTGGCAGAACCAGCTGCTTCCCAGTTTCAGCCAGTTCATGCAGCAATTGAGAGGTAACTGGTCGGTGTTTTAAAGACAGAGCTGGGAAGACGCATGTGATGTCGCCGCCCCAGAAAAACCGCCTGGAAGCGCCCGTGGTGTCCTTCTCGCTCTATCCTGCATGTTCTGGAAGAGCAGCAGAAGTGAGACTGACCAATCTCCACTTTTCCTCCTTGTCAAGCTTTCTCCCCCTTCCTAACCCCCACCCACGTTCCCCGCCGCCGTCTCAGGTAGGTAAATGGCTGTGAGGCCCCTGAAGCGTGTTTGTCTCTTTCAGACATGCCAGAGTGGGGGTCCATGTTTCCCCACTGTGAGGGTCACATGCAGTCTCCCATCAACATCAACACAACAGCTGTCAGCTTCAGCGCCAAGCTGGGGCCCCTGCTACTGTCTGGCTATAATGTGCCTCCTGAAGTGAAGCTTCCCCTAAAGAACAACGGTCACACTGGTGAGCATCACGGGGCTGCTGAGGATCAGCTGGGACTAGCGTCGCAGGAAGCTCAAAGCAGGTGACCAGGATGGTTCCTCGTTCAGAGTTCTTCCTGCTTCCTTGGACAAGGGTCACCTCATTTGCATCTTGCCTTCCTTCCCATAATTGGGCTTCTTGTGAAAGCAGAAGCTATGGGCTTCTTGTGAAAGCAGATTGTGCCTGGTACCAGGTTTAAGCTTGGCTTTTGAGTCTACACTACCCTTGCCCTTGCCCCACGGAGGGTCTCTGACAATGACGCCCAAACTCCAGAATCAGATTTCTCCCAAGAGGCACCTAAGAGGCAGGGGTAGGCAACCTTGGCTCTTTTATGACTCGTGGACTTCATCTCCCAGAATTCCTGAGCCAGCCATGCTGAGGGAAAAGGGAGAGGTTTCCAAGCTGAGCCATGTTGGCTCAGGAATTCTGGGAGTTGAAGTCCACAAGTCATAAAAGAGCCAAGGCTGCCTACCCGTGGACTAGGCCTATCAGTTTCTGATAATCTACTCCTGTCAGGCTTAATAGACTAGGCCAGGGTAGGCAGCCTTGGCTCTTTTATGACTCGTGGACTTCATCTCCCAGAATTCCTGAGCCAGCCATGCTGAGGGGAAAGGGAGAGGTTTCCAAGCTGAGCCATGCTGGCTCAGGAATTCTGGGAGTTGAAATCCATGAGTCATAAAACAGCCAAGGCTGCCTACCCCTGACCTAAGGGATCCTTCCAAATCAGAGGGATTAGAAAGGGGTTGTGGTGCAAGCAAACAGGAGGTGGCTGCCGTCAGGCAAGGTCACTTATGTCACAGAGGACAGGGTGAGGCTCTGATTGCATGGCTATCACTGTGCCCTCCTTTTGTTTTAATTATAAACACCAGCTCCAAGCACCCCTAGTCACTGTTCAAGTTGATTGATTGTTTTTTATTTATATTTGTAATTTTTTTTAGCTACCTGTCTTATCATCTGTCCTTACTTTGTCCTTGGACAGGTGATGGATTGATTGGTGACAAAGGCGAAGAAAAAGTGCCATCTTTGTTTGATGGTCTCTTCTTCCGATTCCCACTCACCAGTCACCAGCTAGAAGGCATAGCTCCTTATAAATAAGTGAAGGCATTTAGTTGGCACTGAAATAAAGTCAAAAGAGTGTGCTTTGGCAACTACTACGCATTTTATAGTTAAACAAACATGAAAATTCTGTTAAAAGAAAAAAAGGAAAATGCTACATCCATAATATATGGGAGTAATAATAAAATAACAGAGTTGGAAGGGACCATGGAGGTCTTCTAGTCTAGCCCCCTGTTCAAGCAGGAGACCCTGTACCATTTCAGACAAATGGCTGTCCAGTCTCTTCTTAAAAACCTCCAGTGTTGGAGCATTCACAACCTCTAGTGTTGCAGCACCCAGTTCTCCTTTGATTGATTGTTCTCACTGTCAGGAAATTTCTTCTTAGTTCCAGGTTGCTTCTATCTTTGGCTAGCTTCCATCCGTTGCTTCTTGTCCTGCCTTCAGGTGCTTTGGAGAATTAGTTGACCCCCCTCTTCTTTGTGACAAACCTTCAAATATTGAGAGATTGCTATCATACCACAGTCCTTCTCTTTCTTATACTATCTAAGTTCATCATATGTTTTAGCCTCCAGACCCCTAATCATCTTTGTTGTTCTTTTTCCACTCTTTCTAGTATCTCAACATCTTTTTTGTACCATGGTGACCCTAACTGGGCACAGTATTCCAAGTATTTCAATCTTGCTATCCATCCTAGGACAGTGGTGGCAAACCTATGGCATGGGTGCCAGAGGCAGCACTCAAAGCCCTCTCAGTGGGCACGTGTGTTGTCGCCCCAGTCCTAGGCTTTTAGCTGGCCTTTTCACTTTAGGCCTCCGCTGCCATGTGCAAAAAAAAAAAAAAAAAGGTTCAATCAGTCAATTTCAACTTCTCACGGGGGAAAAAAAAAGGTCTTGCAAAGTTGGAATTGATTGACTGAACTTTTTAGTCCCACCCAGTCTGCTGTTACCACTGCAGCCATGCCCACCCAATGGGCCACGCCCACCCAATGGGCCACACCCACCCGGCACTCGATGATGCATAAGTGGGTTTTGGGTTGCAGTTTGGGCACTCGGTCTCTAAAAGGTTCCCCATCATTGTCCTAGGAGGACCCCAGAATGGCGGAGTCCAGCCCACTCAACTGAAAAGCCTCTCTTTTCTCGGCTTGATTACATTCACGAAAGAGAGATCATCTGTTAGATTTTAAGGATTTCATGAACAAAACTGCTGTTCGATAAGCCTTCAGAGCTGGTGGTCAAAACAGGCAGGATTCCCAGAGAAAAGGGCTGCTTTCATCCTTCATGAGGTTTAGTTTTTAATCACCTTGTCACCTTTGTCACTTGTCCATTTTGGCCTAAAATGTGACAAACGGAGCTGGACACGCAACACTAAAGGAAGGGTCTCGCCAAGGCAGAGAGCAAAGGAAGAATAAAATGAAACTTCCTATGACTTCAAATGCATTCTTCTGGTGAGGGACCCTAAGCCTGTACTGACCATTTTTTGCAGCGGTGTTATAATGCTGGCTTACAGTCAGCCTGCAATCTTTTTCAGAAACGCCAAACTCAATTCCAGATTCTCTTGGCCTCTTTCCTAAGGGGAGCACTTTGCATCTATCTCTTACCAACTCGGGTTTGAATTTTATTTCTGCCTTCTCCAGCATTAGGTATTCCACCCTATTTGGCATGATCTGCACATCTGATAAGCTCCTTATTCCAGACATCAATAAACAGGTTGAAGATTAAAGGCCCCGAGCTAATCCTACTTTCCAGTTGGTGTGGAATCCTTAATGGGCACTTTTGAACCAGAGCTGTAGGGTGTGCGCCTATTTGGATATGAAACAGAAAAGGTGCTTCAGAGGCAGGTTCTCTGCACAGGTCAGTGCCTCCTTAGAGAAAGAGTGCCTTTTCCTGACCTTGACCAGAAGCTGTGCTTGAATACAAACACAATGTAAGTCCCAGAAAGGAGAATGTTTAAGGAGGGAACGACAAGGTCACTGACGCCCCCTTGCCCACCAGATATGGGGTTTCTTTAAGGAGGTAAAGGGGGCGTGTCCATGCTCCCTCTGCCCATCACTGCCTTAATTGGCTACTGATCAGAATGTTAATGGACATTAATCCACACACTTACCAAATGGAGCTTGCAGCTTGCCACCCAAAAGCAACAAGCTGCTTCCTACAATCTATTACAGAAGTTCCCCAATCAAAAAAAAATAATGAGTTTGACAAGACAAGTGGTTCCTGTTTTTGAGAACTCTTGTGTTGAATTCTGGTACTCACCACATCACCATCAGGGTTTTCGTAGATCAGTCTCTTTACTGCCTGCCTGTCAAATGTCTTTGGAAGGATTAAGTGGGACTGATGGGTCTGTAGCTTGCTGGATCTCCCTTTCTTTCCCTGCTTTTCGTTGGATACTTCTTGTCCAACTCTCTGGAAACCTCAGAATTTCTCAAAGGTAATCCGTAAGGGTTTAACCAAGAGGGTCAATACGTTTCTGTAGTAAGCTGGGACAAAGTACATCTGAGCCTGGATGTTTTAAAAACTTCAGTGTAAATCAATATTAGTTCGTTCCTTTCCTTTTATTTCGAATGTATCTCATGAGGTTGCGTTTGTTTCTCTTGGCACCCGTTGCCAACCAGAGCAGATTGACCTTCCTGATCTCCTGTCAGCCAGGTATTTGCTGGGACTCATTTCTGCTTTCAAAACTTCACACACATCTTTTTGTGCATCCGCCCTGACTTCTTCCATTTCTTTCTTCATTTTAATTGTTTGCATTGTGTTTTTAGAGTCTTCTTTTTAGGAACGTTTTCTTTTTGCATTAGCTTCTCCTGCCATGCCATCTCATTTCTCAATGCTCTAATAAAATCTTTGAGGGGGCAGTGGAGGTGGGATGGGGAGCACCTGGTATATTTTGGGGGGCTACATACAGCAATCATTCAGTTCCTTTCAGTGCTTATGATTCAGCAGGCAGCATTTTGTAGAACGGTGGTGTTGGAAATGTTGGTTCCTCTTCTTCCCAGAGGCAGGAATCCTCGGACCATCCCAGATCATGACGGTGTCCAGAACTATCCCCGAGGGTGATGAAGCACCCACAACTCCAGGAGACGGGCTGTTCTGCTGCTTTGTAGCTCTCACATTCAAGGACTTTCTCCTTGAGGGTGATGGTTCGTTCTCCGAGCTTGTGGGTCAGTTTCCAAATGTTTCATTACCAGGATAGATAGGTCCATCAATGGCTCTTTGGGTGATAGCAGCCACCTAGTTGGAACATAAGAAAGGCTGAGTGCCAAAGAATTGAGGCCTTTGAACTATGGTGCTGGAGAAGACTCCTGCAAGTCTCCTGGACTGCAAGGCAATCAAACTGGGCTGTCCTGGAGGAGATCAACCCTGACTGCTCTTTAGAAGGCCAGATCCTGACGTTGAAACTCAAGTACTTTGGCCACCTAATGAGAAGGAAGGACTCCCTGGAGAAGAGCCTAATGCTGGGAAAGATGGAGGGCAATAGAAGAAGGGGACGACAAAGAATGAGGTGGTTGGATGGAGTCACTGAAGCAGTAGGCGTGAGCTTAAGTGGCTCCAGAAGATGGTAGAGGACAGGAAGGCCTGGAGGAACGTTGTCCATGGGGTCGCAATGGGTCGGTCACGACTTCGCAACTAACAACAAAGTTGGGAAGACTAAACCTGGAAAGAGTACTTCTTGCAAGCAAGAGATGCTGTGGAGATATGCTGCTCTGCAGCAGAAGGACTGCAGCAGAAGGACCCCCTTGCTCCCCTCTCTCTTAATAATCATCCTCTCCCTTCCCCAGTTCTTCTAGGTCTGCCCAAGAAAATGACACTTGGTGGGGGTGGCTTCCCCCAGCCGTACCAAGCAGCCCAGCTACACCTGCATTGGGGATCAGGGCTGACCAGGCCTGGCTCCGAACACACAGTGGATGGCCACCGTTATGCGGGTGAGGTAAATCCCAGTCTTTTGTCCATGGCTCCTGCCAATAGCCCAAGCTGCCTTGCTTGGCATTTACTCCCTTTTCTAGGTCTTGAGAGATAAAGTGCTTTGCTGGCCTTGAAGCCAAACCCAGGTATAGAGCTGCTGCTGAGGACTCTAGGGTCTTTGTAACAAAATTATTTGAACAAGAAAAAAAAAATAGGTATGCTTTACAGAATGCAATAACATTATTTGAATGGGGGAGTATAGGCTTTTTCACTTTTCTAGGACCCCCAAGGGGCTGCACTGGGGTCTTTGGAATTTTCTTTGGCCAAGAAAGATACAGCTCTGTGTTCAAAAGTTATTTTCCAGGAGCTTAAAACTCCAGAGTTTCCTTCCTCTACCTCAGGGGTCTTCAAAGTTGGCCCTTTTATAACTTGTGGACTTCAACTCCCAGAATTCCTCAGCCAGGCACACTGGCTGAGGAATTCTGGGAGTTGAAGTCCACAAGTCATAAAAGGGCCAACTTTGAAGACCCCTGCTCTACCTCATGGGTAGGGGTGGGGAGCACATAGGTGGAACATTAACTCCTCCCAAGGTTTTGATGTGGTTTGTGCAACACAGATGCTTCGGGTTATCCTGATGGTCCCATGAAGTACGGTCTTCTTTGTGTAATTAAGCTGCAGAAACACCAACACAGATGCTTCTTGAGTGTGCTCAGTGCTGTCCTCTGTGTTTGCCTCCAGATTCACGTGGTCCATTACAGCTCCCATTTTGAGAGTATCCAGGAGGCTGCGAGTGAACCAGGAGGGTTGGCTGTGCTGGCTGCGTTTCTGCAGGTGATGGGAGTGTTTGTGTGTGGAAGAGATGCGCGGTGGGCCAGGCAGATGCAGAGCTGCGGGACTTCGTCCTTGGAACACTGGCAGCATTTCCATCAGCTGCCCTTCAGGGAGGATGCAAAAAATGTCTACTGTCGTTTTAGAAGAAGATCTTAGTTTTGTTTTGTTTTTTAATGTGCAATGGGTGATGTTTGTAATATAAAGCAGAGGCCACCGAGTCTCCGCCTGGAGAAGCCGGGCCCTTGGTGACATGAGGGCGAGTGCCTACACCCCTCTCACTCCTGTTTTTGTCTCCTTTTCCAGGTAGGGATGGAAACAAATGAACCGTATCAGCACATCCTCAAACATCTGAGTGAGATCAAGGAAGAAGGTAAAAAGAGACAGGGGGAAGTTCCCCCTCCCTTCTCTGCTTGGGGTCCAGCAGAAAACCCCCCTGCAGGAGATCTGGGAGTCCTGGAGCCAGGCAGGAGAAAGGCCACAGTTACCTGCAGGCGATGCTATCGTTTCCATGGGGCACATCTACATCCAGGAAAGCAAGAACCAGCAGGCCTCTCTGCATAGGCCCTCGGTCACTGCCCCAGCTGCCTTTAGCATCTTCCCTACATGGCACATATAGAAAAGGAGGGCTGATGAGGCAAAGAACCGAAGTCAGAAGAAGAGGGCACATTGGCACAATCTTGATTAACCACAACTATTGCTCCTTGTGTGTGTGTGTGTGTGTGTGTCAGTGATGTCTCTGATCACCATATTCCATGCACCAGAATGAGATGCTCTTAGGGTGACCTTTGGGGCACCCTTCTATTCAGGCAGAATGTCCCACTAGATCAGGGGTCTTCAAACGTGGCCCTTTTATGACTTGTGGACTTCAACTCCCAGAATTCCTCAGCCAGGCACGCTGGCTGAGGAATTCTGGGAGTTGAAGTCCACAAGTCATAAAAGGATCAAGTTTGAAGACCCCTGCTCTAGATGGCTCATCTCCTTGTGTTGCTCTGCATCCTCCTGGCATGATCCTCACAGAGGTTTCTCCTTTCTTAGGAGAGGAAACGGTAGTTGCTGGCTTTGATGTAGCCAAGCTTCTCCCTGATGACTTTGGCCGCTATTTCCGCTACAATGGCTCACTGACCACCCCACCTTGTTACCAGACGGTGAACTGGACAGTCTTTAATCAGACAGTTCGGCTCTCCCAGGAACAGGTTTGTCTCCGCTGGGCAGGGGTGCTCCGTGGTCCTCCTCTCCTCCTCTGGGTGACCATTGGTGGCCCTTCTCCCTGCAGATCTCGATGCTGGAGGACACCCTACGAGGAGACGAGGATGAGCCTATCCAGAATAACTTCCGCCACCTGCAGGATCTTTATGGGCGGAGTATCTTTTCAAGTTTTCACAGCCTTGAGAAGGTTCAGCCAACTGGTAAGTGAGCCAAGCATCACCTGTTTTCAGACCCAAAGAGATTTCCTGTCAAGCAGCCTCACGTGCAAGATTCCAAGAACACATTTATAAGGGTATCTTTGAAGATTTTCTAGTCCCATTCTAGTCTACTTCAAAATTGTCCAGTGTCGTCCTAATGGCCCATTTGGAGCCTGATCCAATCCTGCCCATCTTGACACTGAAGATGGAGCAGCTCTCTTTCCTCGTTGGGGGCTCCTTGGGTTGACCTGCCTTTTGCTCCTCTTCCATCTCCTCTTCCTCCTCTTCCATCTGGCAGTTCCATCATAATCCACCCTCAGGACTCCCACTTTGTGTACTGAAAAAGGTTAACTTTCAGGTTTTGGAGATGAATCTCCCGTTTCTGCTGAGCCTTTATTTTAACATCTCCAATCTTTCATGAGCTTGTGGCCAGAGCGTATGACTTAATTTTTTTTTTTAAATCAAGGCAGTGCCAACAGTCAGCATAAGGCACTTGGTTAACGGGATCAGTTCTGTCTTCTCCACATGACAAGCTAGAAGCCTCTCAGGGTCCCACAAGTAGAGCGCAGGGCCACAGAAACCCTGAGGCAGGAATGGGGGAGGCAGAGGCGGCAACGGCTCCCAAGCTGGGGGGGGGCACTCAACCTTCTCCAAAGCCAGCTAAGCAAAGAGCAAGGGAATCCAGCTCTATGCCTGTGTCCAACCCGGAGGTCCCTGGGAGAAGTAGATGTTGGTCTCTTCCAGTGGGGTGGGGATGCCCCCTCCACAGTCCTCCTTTTATTAATGGGCATCTTCCTTTATTGGGGAGGAGAGCCGCTTTCATTATATGATAAAATCCCAGGAGGCAGAACATTTCTTCATCACGGGAGGTGGGACTCCCACTGAGAATGTAATGGAAGGACAGATTCCGTCTGCAGTAGGTGATCCAGCAGGTGATCCAAACCGAAAAGGGGTTTCTAACAACCAGCACAGAAAGCTGGCTGACCAGCTGCCAACAAGCAGGTATTCCCCCCCATCCAGACTGGTGAAACAAGGCAGAAGTGGACAAGGACATGTTTGAGCAGCTGAAGCTTCCACCTTGTCTTCCTGGGCAACCTCATGTGGCGTGAGATGCTGCCATCCACCTGCAAAGTTATAAGGGCATGGGGGGGGGAGCAGCTGTTGCCAGCACCTCCTCTTTAGGCAGGTACACAAACTCTGCTTACACTCCCTTGCAAAGTCCACACAGGGCAATGAAAGGAGGGAATGACTCAGTGCGATGATTGAAACTCAGCCACCATCTTCTAGGAACCAGAAAGTCTTTTGTGTCCCAAAGGTGTTTTTTCACAAGGCAACTTGACTTTCTTGCTTTTCTTTGAAGAAGTTTCGCTTCTCATCCAAGAAGCTTCTTCAGCTCTGAGTGGATGGTGGGGAAATGGAAGGATTTATACTCCTTGCAGACAGCTGGTCATTTGCCTTCTTTTAGAGAGTGGATACCCATTTGCACTACTCAGGTGACCTGACTCCACAGAGAAACCTCCAGGTGGCCTCAACAACTCTCTAAAAGAAGGCAAATGACCAGCTGTCTGCAAGAGTATAAATCCCTCCATTCCCCACCATCCAGTCAGAGCTGAAGAAGCTTCTTGGATGGGAAGCGAAACCTCTTCAAAGAAAAACAAGAAACTCCAGTTGCCCCCTGAAAAAGCACCTCTGGGATAACTATGACCTGGATGGCTAAAAATCTCCATAAACAAAGTCTTTCGTGGTTTGTGCTCCAGCCTTTCTTGATAAGCTGGTTTTGTTAAAAATGGATAAGGGGTTCAAACATGAAAGGGGGTCCTTGACTAAATTTATCATAAGGAACCAAACTAAAAAGACAGTCCAGGAAGAAGCAAAGGATTGAGGCAACTTTCAAGATGAAGACGTCCTCTGCGAGAATCCATATGCGAATTGCTGTCGCCAAACTATCCCAGTTTAAGAAAAGTCTAATTTAGACTAGCAAATCTAAATATCTGACCCCACTTGAAAGGTTCCCTCTGGAAGTACATCCAGCTGCACACTTGCTTCTGGTTTGGGGAATTGCTCAACAAAAGCATCTCTCCCTTGCTGGCCCTTTATTCCGCATTACTGGCCCTCACCTGGCCTAGAACTGCTGCCAGATGCCAGCCCAGCCCATCATTGGCTCAGCTGATTTGGATGGACTTGGTATCTCTGCACCTTCCTTACATCTTCCTAGGAACTGGGTTGTTTCTCCTCCCCCTTAATTTCCTTAGAGTCCAAGTTTCCTTCTTCTCTTCTGCCCCCCTCCCAGGAAATCAGCTGCTGGGTAGAAACTGGTTTTAGAAAAAAGGCTTTGTGCCCGGCCTCTCCTTGGATCACCCCCCCACCCACCCCACCTCCGATTCAAGGTTTTCCGGCCACGGGCTACTGGGATTGTCCCACCTCTGCCGTGACCCTGAAAAGCACACAAGCCGCTCCCTCTGGCCCTCGCCTTATCAGCCACTCCCGGCAGTCAAAGGAGGCATCCGGCCCAAAGAGGAGCTCCGTTGGTCAAGCGGAAAGAGCATTTGTCCGGCTTCTCCCCAGGGCGAGAATGGCCAGGCTGCATCCCAGGTCCCCCTGGGCAGCAGAAGGGCACTGACCCTCTAGCACAGGGGTCCTCAACCTTGGCAACCAGCTGGCTGAGGCATTCTGGGAGTTGAAGTCTACAAGTCTTAGTCAAGGTTGAGGACCCCTGCTCTAAGCAGCCAGAGCTGCAGGCTACTCTGCCCTGTGAAGCAAACCTCTCTGGGGATCCTAGCCTCAGCTCTGGACCTCACGGCTCTCCCAAATGGCCAAATGGGTCACACACGGGACAGGCTCTGGCTTAACCCAGCAGGAGCCTGGGCTGAAACGGAGAGTCACCTTCTTGTGAGATGGGCGTCTGTACAAATATCCCTGTTGTTGTTAGTTGCGAAGTCATGTCCGACCCATCGCGACCCCATGGACAACATTCCTCCAGGCCTTCCTGTCCTCTACCATCTTCTGGAGTCCATGTAAGCTGACACCTACTGCTTCAGTGACTCCATCCAGCCACCTCATTCTCTGTCTCCCCCTTCTATTGCCCTCGATCTTTCCCAGCATCAGGCTCTTCTCCAGTGAGTCCTTCCTTCTCATTAGGCGGCCAAAGTACTTGAGTTTCAACTTCAGGATCTGGCCTTCTAAAGAGATAAATATCCCTACCTAACATAAATCTATCCGGGAGGTTCACACACACCCCCTTTCCCGCTGCGGTTCGGATAGGCAGCAGACTCCCCCCTCCCGCCCCCCAGGCCTTTTGTGATCCTGGCTGAAGCGATTAAATGGGGGAAGGGTCTGGACGCTTCCTGGGCTGGCTCCACCGTGCGTGCGCTCGCATTCGGACAAACGCGCACGTAAGAGAACGAGCGATAACAGCAAAACCGGTTTGTGTGTGTGGTTTTTCGGGCTTAGTGTGTGTGTTGTGTGTGTGTGGTGGGGAGGTTATGATAAGGCCGGATCCTGAGTAAAGACATTCCTTCTCATTGTTACCAACTCTTTTGAGATCCAGGAGGCAGCGGAGTTTGCCGCTGGGCGGGGGGAGGGGGTAGCCCGACGGGGAGGGATCCCTAGAGGAGACCCGCCCAGAAGAACTGGGAGGAGCGTGGTAGGGATCCAAAGTGGCTCTGTTTATGGGCGTGTGCAGTTGACCTTCCTTTGTACCTTGCAGGTGGAGGGCCTTTGGAGGAGGGGCCGGACAGAACCTGAAGAAGGAACGGTTCCAGGATCCCTGGCTCTCCTTGGCCGGGCTTGGCGGGGGGGGGGGGAGGAAGGGGCGGGGACTGCTGTTTGCTTGCAGGGGTTCTCAACCTTGGCAACTTTAAGACTTGTGGACTTCAACTCCCAGAATTCCTCAGCTAGCTTTGCTGGCTGAGGAGTTCCGGGAGTTGAAGTCCACAAGTCTTAAAGTTGCCAACGTTGAGAACCCCTGGTAGAGGTTCAGAGCTGAGCTATTCCTCCCTTTCTGTTCCCCAAAGTGAAACTTAGTTTTTTACATTTAACCTGATTATTGACTTAACCTGGTGATTCATTTCATGCAGGCTACGGATGCTGCTTCCCTGACAAGCTTGTGCCAGGCAAAGTCCCCAACCCAGCTAATTAAGCCCAAAGGGTTAGTCCAAGGATAGGCAACCTTGACTCTTTTATGACTCGTGGACTTCAACTCCCAGAATTCCTGAGCCAGCCATGCTGAGGGGAAAGGGAGAGGTTTCCAAGCTCAGCCATGCTGGCTCAGGAATTCTGGGAGTTGAAGTCCACAAGTCATAAAAGAGCCAAGGTTGCCTACCTCTGGGTTAGTCGGTCTTGTTGGGGGCTCCTTCACTCTCTAACAATGTCCGTGATCAACATCCTGGAGAGGCCAGGAAGAAATGCCTCTCCTCAGTCTGGGGGAATGGAAGAAACAGGCAGGGGGAGGTTCTTCCCCAACTCAGATCACTTTGCTTATTATCCCGGTCTCCCTCTAGATGGCGGTCTCTCCTCTCCTTTGCCAGATGGCCCCCCAAGTGACCGCCTTGATCCCCTGGATTCTGGAAAAGATGGCGCCCCAAGAGACGGCCTTGACCCCCCGGATTCTGGAAAAGATGGCACCCCAAGAGACGGCCTTGACCCCCCAGATTCTGGAAAAGATGGTGCCCCAAGAGATGGCCTTGACCCCCCGGATTCTGGAAAAGGTACTCACCTGGCTACATAGGGCCAGGTTAGGGTCAGCTGACCTCCTCTATTTCAAGGACAATCTCAGAAGTTGGTTGATGGGTCTGTCTGTGTGTGTAGTGCTGAGAAACAAAAGTCTTACCAAATGGCTTCTGGACGCATTCTGAGTGGTCTGTGGCCACTGGGGTTGAGTCCTTCAGCCCAGAGAAGGAAGGAAGGAAGGAAGGAAGGAAGGAAGGAAGGAAGGAAGGAAGGAAGGAAGGAAGGAAGGAGACATGAGGAGGTCTCCCTTCCCCCATGAGCTGTGTTGGGGTGCCCTGGGGCAGCCTCCCTCCAGCTGCTCTGGGTGCCAAACGCCTATTCCAGATCAGAAGCCCTCAATGGGCACAGGGCTGGTGGGTCTTAGAAGGAGCAGCCACTGCCCACCTTCAGCTGGGCTTGGAGCCAAGCAAAGTAGAGGCTGGGGAGTCAAAAGACCTCCTGGGGGGGGGGAACGTCCTCTGTTGGCATAACAGTGCTTAACTGGAAGGAAGCTAGTTCAGGAGCAGGACTGGAGCTGCTGCACACCCAGCTCCCCCAAGATATTGTCACCATCCAGAGGTCAGGCTAGGCTGCAATTGGGCTTCAGAGTGTTTGGGAACCAGCTCTTTTCTGGTGGTGTGTATCAGGCTGGCACAGGGAGTGTTTCTACTTCTTGGGCACCACCCAGCCCCAGCCACTTTTACTACCTTTTGCCCAGCTATAGCTCATGTGACCCAAGCCTTCTCTCTCTCTCTTGCAAACAACCATAGCAATTTTTTATTTGCATATGGTGCCCAACTCCCAGCGGGTGGGGGGGGGCTCTAGGCACTTCCAACCCAGGAAAGGCAGCTTGGAAGGGCTTTGGATCCCCTTCTTCCCAACCTCTGAGCTATTCTGGTTGGTGTTCTTTCTGCTTTGCTTCCAGATGCTGAGAAGCAGGTGAACACCTCCCTTCACACAGGTAAGCGCCTGGGTACCTGCCCACCACTGGCCGTGTCAGCGCTCCCTTCCTACTGCAAGTGTGATGGCAACACCAACAGCATTTGGGGCAGCTCCTGTGCCCTTCCATGGGGCGACTCGCCTGCCTCCAAAGCCTGAACACAACTGGGGAGGGGCTGGGCAGTCAGCCACCGGGCGGGGGGGGGGGGAGGAAGAGGTTGCTGCCTGTGAATTTCCAGCATTAATCATACCGGCTGGGTGGGTGGAGCTGCAGTCTGAAAATGTTTCAAGCACCAACTTGATCTGCCCCCCCCCTTGCTGGCCTTCTCTCCCATGGGGGGATTCATCAGACGACCTTTTTCTGCAGGGGACATTCTGGCTATTCTCTTTGGCTCTCTCTTTGTGGCCACAGCCCTTGCCTTCCTCGTCTACATTCACAAGCACCGGAGACTGGCAAGCAGGTGAGAGGAAGCCCCACAGCGGGAGGCAGCGTGGCTTTCCAAAGCTCCCAGGGGAGGAGAGTCACACAGGGCCCTGCTTGGCCCACACGTCCCTCCTCTTCTGTGCATGCCCACCGAGGATGCCAGGGCCTCCGAGGAAGGCCACGCGGGTGGGAAGGAGAACAATGCCCGTGCCACCTACTCCCTTTTCTCTTGGCAGGCACCGAGGACAAGCCACGAAACCTGCTGCCCTTTACGTTCCGGCCTCCACTGATGAGCAAGCACTGTAGCTGGCAGCCCACTGGCCACGCTCCACCCCACGCCCTTGGTGCTCCTTCCTACCCCAGCCTGTTCAAAGCCCGACATGCCCCCCCCCCACTAGCAGCTGGGGTGGTGCTCAGGCCAGCCGGAGGAAGAGCAACCCAAACACAAGATCCTCCTCCCCTCGCCGGAATAGAGGGGCTGCAGAGGAGCCCAGCCCAGCAGAGTTGAGAAGGCTCCTGAGAAGGCTCCCCCCTGGACTTGTGGAGCAGCGGGACCGCCCGCCCAAATTGCAAGCTAGTGTGCTCCTGAGGCACTTCTAGACAGAAACCCGTGACTTACCTTCAGACTCTCCAGGAAGAACCACGGGCTGCTCCAGGTGTGGCAGCACCCACCTGGGTGCCAGGAAGCCCTCTCGGCATAAGGCTTGCCCAGCGGCTGTGGAGAGGGCTGGTGCTACAGAAGTCATGTCATTCTCTCTCTCTCTCTCTCTTTTTCCCACCCTTCTCATTGGGAAGCCTGATTGGCCAAAGGCCGGACTGGTCCGATTAATGGCTTCTTGATGGCCTGCACAAACACAGCAGCCTTGCCGCTCTGTCGATTTGTTCTCACAAGCTCGTTGCGTGGCTGCCGGGTGACAGTGGCCTGAAAGCTGCCTAAGCTCAGCCTTCTTCACACAAACCCCGAATGAAACAGCGAATTCTGAAAAAAGGTTTATTTTGGGAATGTGCTGCTTTTCCCTCTCTACTCCAACGCGACCTTGAAACGAAGCAGAGCTGCTGGGATGCGGCAAAGCAGGTGTGCAGGGCAGAACACGGCATGCGTTAGTTCTGCCAAAGTGGTCCAGGAAATCAGTAGGCGAGACAGGGAGGAAATCTGCCTGTGAATCAGAGCTTGCTCCCCCGCCCCGGGTTGATTTTATAGGACGAGGGTTCCTCCATCTGCAGAAGCCGAGGCTACTCCAGGCACCTTCCCTGTTTGCAGGCAGGTGGGTGGAGGGGATTGTCTGAAGCCAAAGGATGACCCTCCCTCCCCCCCCCGAGCTCTGGGTTAAGTGCCACCCAACCAGGCCAATTTTTAAAAAAGCAAAAACTACTGGGGGAGGGGCAGGATGTACGGGGGGAAAAAAACGTAGAATGATGCATGAACTGCGAAGAGGCTTTTGGTCTCGTAATACCAACATCCACACTAACAGGGCTGCTGGCATCTTCTGTCTGGCCTACTGGGAGAAAGGCTTCAGCAGATGCCACATAATTCTCCTGTGGAACTTACTGCCACAAGACGGCTTGAAGATTATAAAAGGGAAGTGCCAGATCCTCAGAGGAAAATAAGTCTTACGTTTAGAGATAATCCTCGACTTACCAACTATTCATTTAGCAACTGCCTGGTTACAACGGCATTGAAAAAAGTGGCTTCCAGCTCACATCCCCACGGTCACATGATCAAAATTCAGCCCTGGGTTGAATTTTGGTTGCCTCATCACACAATTGCCGTTTGTGACCTTCCCTGCCAAGCAAAATCGATGGGAGAAGCCAGGTTAGCTTAACAACTGCACAACTGACTTCACGACTGCAGTGATGTACGTAACCGTTGGGGCAAAAAAGGTCGTAAAATCGGGCACATGCCTCTTAGCTGCCTCGCTTCGCAATCAAAATTCTGCTCCCAATTTTGGCTGTAAGTCGAGAACTGTCCGTCTGTTCTGGGGGGGGGGGTGTCTGCTACTCAACGCCAGAGAACTGAGTGGGCCAAGGTTTGTGCCAATTTAAGGCTGTCAGCACTGGCACCTTGCAACAAAAGTCCCCTCCCCCACGGCACCTGCCCCTGCAAAGCATCCGGTGCCCAGTGTGCCAGGAGGGGACCTGCCCCAAGGAAGCTGCCATATTTGATGGGATGGGCACCAGAAAGGAAACCCAACAAAGAGCAAGACTGAAGGGACTTAAGACTGGTCAGTTAGGGACAGGACAGGACATGCCAACGCGGTAGCAGAACCAATCTGGTTGGAGTTCATGCAATACACTGAACCTGGATCTAACCAGTTACAGCAAGCCATGGTTTTCCCCCTAAAAAAAACAGTCCTAGGGGCTCCCCAAGATGGTGACTGCATTGCTACCATCTCAGAAGCTGCCAGATGTTCTCTGCTCACCCGTCCAGCTCATCGTGTGATGGCAGGTGGCCCTTTTGCAGTGATGGCCACACCAGCTGACCAAGCAGGAACCTCACCGGAGGCCAAGGCCATCTGCCCTGACCCTACCATCCCCAAACACACACAGGTTTTTCTCCAGTCTCTTTATTGGTACTACTTAAAAAGGGAAGCCACAGTTCTCTTCTGCTCCCGGCTCTCAAGCACTGCAAGACTGGGCGCTCTCTCCCTGACTGGGCGCTCTCTCCCGGCTTCTGAGAGCGCCTGGCTGCTCAGCCAACGCTCCTCCCCCTCCCACCTCCCACCCAAACAAGTGTCAGCAGCCAAATGCAGTGAGATTCAAGAAGAAATGGCACCGTGCAGACAGATTTTCCTGGGGCTGGTTGGGGGGGGGGTGGCCATTCCGCAACTCTGGTCCCATCTTTGCCCCCCCCCCCATGTTCCAAGGGCACAATCATCAGGTGCCCTCCAGAGAGTCTGGGGCCCAACTTTCTTGCAACGTGGCCGGAAGGCTCAGGATCCCGCTTGGGGTGCGGTCCGTAGGCCTGTGAAATGGAGTGTAGCATTTGGAGAGGGCTGAGCCAGCTGGCTGGGGGGGGGGAGGGGTTAGCCCAGGGGCAACTGCCCAATGGGGAGGGGGACCTGAGGTGGTCTTGGACAGGAGCTGGAACGGCACTCACACAGGAGGAAGTGTTGCAGATTCTTTTTGGAGCCTCCAGAGAGATGATAGGCCCACACCGCCATAGCCACCATTAGCAGGTATGCTGGCAAAAGGCTGCCCAGGTAGACCGGGTTCCAGAAGGTCTGCAAGCAGAAACATTGGGGGGGGGTCAGCCCTCCCTGCTGGCCTCTGACAAGACAGGTGGCCCTCTCCCACCCCGGTCTCTGTGCCTGGGGGGCTGCAGGTCCCCAGAAATGAAGTGGGAAGCCCTCTGCCTCCCCGAGGCTGGAGAGCAGCCCAGCCGAGGGGCACCACAACTGCACAGAGGAGGTGGAGTTGCCTACAACCACCCCACCCCATGGCCTGTAAGCTGCTGGCCAGGGGCTGACCCTCCTCCAGACTTTGTTGCAGGAAGAGAGGAGGGGCTTGCCTTGCTAGGCTGGGGCCCTGGATTCCCAGGGGCCACGTGCAAGGCAGCATTTCGGCTATCACAATACTAAGATGCCACGAGGACTAAGACCCTCCCCGCCACAGGGGACCTGGGTCCATTCATTGGGGCAGCTAAAGCAGAGACAGGCCTGGGCGGTGCATCTTGGCTACAGCCTCGTAGTCCCTGTTCTCCCCCCACCCACCCAATTTTTAGGGCTACTCACAAGGGCAGAGACGGTGAGATGGCAGAGCACCACAGCTGCCACCTCCCCCCAGCGCCGCGTCTCACAGCCGTGGAAGAAGATGATGCCCCAAAAGGTGTGCAGCAGGATCAACACCAGAGTCATGAAGGCTGTGGGGACAGAGACAGTGAGGGGAGGGGCTAGAGAAGGCATTTCCCATCCACCCACCAAGCAAGGACAGCTGTACCTGAAGTCAAAAAGTAGAGCTGGGAGTCTCCCTGGATGCCCACGATGCCAGGCCCCAGAGAATCCGCCAGCAGGTTGATCATGGCAAAGGCACCACTCATGAGTCCAAATCCCAGGCCGGCCACTGTGGAGACAGGAGGTGCTGGCCTGAGCAGGGCCCAAAAGAGCCGATCTATCCCCCAACCCAGCCGGACCTTTGGCCACATCCTCCTCCCCTATCCTGTCCACTCTGGACCTGGAAAGGGGCTTCCTTCCATGCTGGGAGACGCACTCACTAGCAGGGGCCTGGCTTGAAGCTCCCAGCACCCCAGGGATTCCTAGCCCCCCTCCTGCCCTCTGCAGGGATCCCAGTGGAGTCCCTAAATGACCTTCTTTGCCCAGGCACCCTGAGCCGTCCATTGGGAAACGTACCGTAGGCCATCTGCTGGATGGAGATGGGAGAGCAGCCATCTTCACTGAGGGCAAGCAGCCCCTCCATCGCCTTCCTGGGAAGGGGGGGAGGAGAAGCACAGGCTGAGTTTCAGATCATCTGGGCTGAAGCTGGCACCCCTTTGCAGGCTTGGACAGCCTCTTTCTCCCATGGACTTGAAAAGGCTGCTCCTGGCCCAGAAGGAGCTTCTTGACTGTGGGTGCAGGCTGGTCCCCTGGCTTTGTGCACCAGGCCAGCCCCAGTCTGAGGCCAGGTCTGTGGCCTCTCTGCCTCTGGGAGAGACGAGGTGGGGCCAAGCCACTCCCCCTTGCTTTGAAGTGGCTTCAAAGTTGGTGTGTGTGTGTGTGTGCGCGCGCGCACACGCGCGCAAGCAGGCACACAGAGGAGATACTCCTTTATATAAAATTTCCATTTCCTTTCATCTGTTAATTCTAGTTTAGTTAAATAAATGAGGTCAATGTGAAGTTTTTCTTTTAAAAAAGTGGGCCTGGGAACAGTAGAGCTGAATTACACAGGTCAGTCGGTTTATAGAAAAGACTAAGAAAAGTGAAAGGAAGGAAGAGGAGATGATAACCAGCAACACAGTTGTGTGAAATCAGCCACAGGGAAAATGGCTAGAACATCTGGTGAGAGACAAACCACCATGGAGAAAATCCATTACAGGTCAAGAACCCGAGCAAAAGATAAAGAGGTTACAGATAACGCTCCATCCATTTATGACCATCCTTTGAAGTAATGTCAGCCCTGGAAAGTGTGTGTCCAACCACCGTGCTACCCAGGATCTGGGTGCTTGGCAATCTGTTGCCCCACAATTTTTCCTGGGGACAGCCCTTCCAGGAGTCATAGCAGAAACTGTAATGCAAGAAACTACAGCAATGCTGGAGAACCTATGGCACGGGTGCCAGAGGCGGCACTCAGAGCCCTCTCTGTGGGCACGTGCGTCGTCGCCCTAGTCCTAGGCCTTCAGCTGAGTTTTATAAAAACTTTTCGCTTTAGGCCTCCACCACCGTGTGCAAAAAAAAAAAAAAGGTTCAATAAATCAATTTCAACTTCTTGCGGGGAAAAAAAAAGTTCTCACAAAGTTGGAATTGATTGAACTTTTTAGTCCCACCCAGTCTGCCGTTACCACTGCAGCCACGCCCACCCAATGGGCCACACCCACCCGGCACTCGACGATGCATAAATGGGTTTTAGGTTGCAGTTTGGGCACTCAGTCTCTAAAAGGTTCGCCATCACTGAACTACAGCATTCCCGCCCACCATCCTAATGGAGAAGGAACAACTAGGGAAGATTCATTAAACAACATCATCTTCAAAAGAATATAGCCCTGGTAAAGGAAGAAGGAAACAAAACACCAACCCTTCCTGGTGAGCTTCTCCAGCAAAGGACATGGCGCAAATTAGAAACAAATCTGTCGTAAAACCAGCCACACTAACTACCCCATTTCCCTGAAAATAAGACCCAACCGGAAAATAAGCCTGAGCATCATTTTTCAGGATTCTTGTAATGTAAGCTCCACCCCAAAAATAAGCCCCCGTTAAGATCGTCAGCCAGATGGATGCATTTAGTATTGTATTTCCCTGAATATAAGCCCTAATTGGAGAATAAGCCCTAATGCGTCTTTTGGAGCAAAA